AGTGAAATTGAAGACAAAATTGTCACCACTGATCTGCTAGAGCAAAAAGCAGACTCAAAAAAGAAGGAAAAAGAAGAAAAACTAAGAATAATGTTGGACAACATCAAGAAAAATAACATGCGCATCATTGGACTTCTACTTTATTGTAATCTGCCACATTTGCTAACAAATGTTTCTTGGCCTTGTTATATATATAGGCACAGTTCTTGTGCTACACATAAATGCTGACTGAGAAAAATGTGGTCTCTATTTAAGTAACAGAGTCCAGTTTTACTGTGTACTCACTGTAGAACTTAATTGATGAAACCATCAAAGCATATCTTCTGATAGAAATTTTTATTCCAAAATTCAGCTCTGAAAACACTAGGCTTAGTCTCAATTGTTCATTTAATTTTATGAGTCCTAATTCCATGTGGATAGAAGAAAGAAAATCTTATTCTTCAGCCCACAGGTTCTCATTTCTCAGTTTAAGGGGCTTCTTGTTAACTAAAGGGATGCAGGAAAAATTGGGCAATCTGGTCCACATAAATTGCTGTTTATATCTTTTATGTTTGCATGACCCTTTGGTCTTAGCACTTTTGTTACACTATTTAATGTCCAGATGCCTCTGTTCTACTTTTCTCCATCCCCACCGGCTCCCCCCATTTCCATTTCTGCCATAATCCCAGACCTACAACATACTGTCTATTTCTTATTGGAGTCTTTGTTCTATTGTTCAGTTATCCCCCTCCCTTTTCTGATAATTCCAACCACAAAGGTGGTTTCTTTTGGAACAGTGAGCTTAATTCCAGTTATTCCAGTGAATACTAATCCCAACCACAAATATTGGTCCTTTTGGAACCCTCTCTGTGCTTTTTTTTTTTTTTTTTTCTCTCTGTGCTTTTTGTGTCATGATTTTCAAGTGAGCCTTGAATGTCATGTGAGGGAAGTAGAGATTGCAGTAAATAGCATTGACCTTTGAAAAGGGACTTGACTCTTGTTCTGCTGGGTTTCTTACCAAAGGCAGGGGTTAAACAGGGCTTGGATTTTGTTGTAGATGTGTTCCTCACATTCTAATCTTTCAGTTCACATTGAGTTATTGACATGGTTTTCGTCTTTTAAAAGTTAGGATTTGTGGTCAAACTTGTAAAATACTTGTTTTGTGCACCCCCCCCCTTCACCTACCCCCCACAGGTTTACAGGTCTGTGGCAATACTCTTAACCTAAAGAACTGAAATGGTGACGAAATGACACTAGAGGCTCTTAAAAGTACTGAAGGACAATACTCCTATTACACAGCAAAACATGCAGATTATAAACATCAGAGCCATTTGTTTGGGTTAGGTTTTCTTTTGTTTGGAGGTTGTTTTTCTTTTTTTCAGTTTATACTTCTGATGCATTCAGATAGCAGATGTCTTCAATGAAATATATATTGTGTATGGACTTAATTATGCACATGGTCATATAATGCAGATATCCTCTACATACATAACATATAGAGGAATAGGTAGCTAATTAGACATGCCACATTTTCAAGAGTTGCCTGACCAAGAAGTTACAAAGACCACTCCTCAATAATCTTGCCCTCTCCACCCACCTATGGCTTTGAGGATCATTTACTCAAAAATTGCTTTCCTCAAGAACTCTGTGCTCTTTGCTTTGCAAGTCCTATGGTCATGTCATTCTGAGGTCACATATATAAAAGTAGCTTCTATATACGTATACCACTTAAAGATCCGCCCCAGAGAAAAAGGGGGAGATATTATAATGTTGGCGGAGAGATGTTATTGGGAGCCATATTTCAAATTTTGGTCCTGGATTCCCACATTCAATTGATTGTAGCCATTTTAATTATTGCCATCGTGTGCTTGTCTCACCCAGTGTTAATGCACTTTCCACAGTTGGACATGGTGTTAGTATAGCCAGACAGGTTTCATTATAATTCCTCTTTGCTTTCTCAATGTTCTTAATTTATTGCATGGTTTCTTCCCTTTTTTTTTTCTTTTACAGCTAAAATTGTTTAAAATGATGGTTAAAAATTACAGATTAAAATGTTCATTTTTATCAATGTGATTGTAATTTAAATATGTTGATTTAAATAACAAAAATGAAAACAGATTTAAGCCGTGAAGTATGTTCTTGATCATTTGAGTTAAGGACTTTAAGTAAAGCAGTGTTAACCAAAAAAAAAAAAAAAGTTAGGATTTGAGTGAAAATTTATAGAGCAGATTGATGTTCTAGTCAACCATTCATACATGTTTTGTGACGTTGACTGTGATCTCTACATTATATCATCACTTTTTCCACTACCTTTGCTCCTTGTTTCCATTCATCTTCCATCTTCTTTCTCCCTACCATTTGAGGTTTATCCTTGAACAAATACAGACCTTATGATGCTGTATAGTTGGTTTTTCTAAAGGCTGAGTACCTGCCAGTATTATTGTTCATCTTATAGAGGTCTGTTCTTTGGGTGTAGCTTGTGCCTCAGGTTGAGTTCAGTTCCAGGCTTGAAGGGCAGTAGAAAGGTTTTTTTAGTGTTCTCTTTCCACTCTCAGCCCTAGACTTTCCTTCTGAGCATGTGCACCATGAATACTCTTTCCCTCCTCCAGCAATGGATTGTTCTTTTTTTTTTTTTTAGTGGTAAATGTTTGTAGTCTTGTCAGGGAAGGGCTGTTGAGAAAGTGGAGCAGCAGTCCTTGACTTGGTTCATGTGCAGTCTTAGCAGCCCTCATGTCCTTGAGTGTAATGACTGAAAGAATTTTGTTTGCTGGTTTCTTTTTTGAACAACATACTTACATATCCTATTTTCTTGTAGTAAAGAATATTGAGAGATAAAAGTTGATTATTTTTATTACACACATAACATGTTTTTCTTTAACTTTTCACAGAGGTGATCTTGCCTATTTTGATGGACTTAGTGAGACTATTCTTGCTGTGGGGCTTGTGAAGCCAAAAGCTGGTAAGAAATACAAATAAAGTGATGAGATGATGTTTCTAGAAATACATAGACTCCACATTGTTTAGTACTGAAGGTAGCCCATCTTTAAGTAGTTGACATTTTCATCTCAATTCTGATTAGAAATATCTAAAATCAATTATTGGAAATATTGAGGACAGTTTCCTCACCTTAACATCAGAAGTATCTCTGCCATTCAAAACTGTTAAACTAAAATTCCTACATTTTCATCTGATTTACCTTTGCGCAATGCTTTCGTTTGCCTGAATGTTTTTACATTATAGATTTTTACCAGTTACAGAATTTATTGTAAAAACAAAACATTTTTGTCTCTGCATTGAATCTTTATAACTAAGGTTGTAAAAAGTCTGACATCACTAAAATTTTTTTAATCGAAAGTTACTTCTTTGGCATAGCATATGTAGTGAGGGAATGTTTCAAAAGAGGAAATTTTGCTAATGGAAAATAATTAGAAGGTTTCTATTTTTTAAATTAATGTGGCAGAACACATGTTTTGAGGTTATTAAAATAGAAAGTGTGTGCCTTCAGCCTTAGTGACTTGAACAACTGAAAAATCTGTAACTTTTGCAACTTCAAGTAAAACCCAGTGAGACTGTAAGCTTAGTTGTACTAATTTAATAACACAGTTAGGCCAAATGTACACACGTAAAGAGAGATCTAAAATCTGGAAGTACATTTTCTTTTTGTTGTTAGTGAAGCACTGTTGATACATGATGACAGTAATAATTGTACATAATATCTCATGCCACACCATACTTTTTAATATTAAACAACATATTTTGTGATAAATTAATGATTTTTATTTTTAGATTTTTCCAAAATAAGAGGATTTTGTTCTTTTTATGTCCCCTCTGAAAATCTAAATTATCTTGTTTTGATGTTGGAGAAAAAAATTAGTTCTTCTCTGGAAGATGTGTATTGTAGATTTCCCTCTAAACTATTAAAGTCAGGATGTTTTCTCTAATGTTGTTGTTGTTATGTGCCGTCGAGTCGTTTCCGACTCATAGTGACCCTATGCACAACAGCCCTAAACCCTGCTCTATCCTGCGCCAACCGCACCGCCTCTGACACACCCATCCCGATTACCCCAGTCACTGAATCAATCCATCTCATAGAGGGTCTTCCCCTCCTGCACTGTCCCTCCACCCTCCCAAGCGTGATGTCCCTCTCCAAGGACCCGTCCCTCCTGGCAACATGTCCAAAGTATGTCAGACGAAGCCCCAGAATCCTTGCCTCCAAGGAGTAGCTTGGTTTAATCCTCTCCAAGATGAATCTGTTTGTTTTCCTGGCAGTCCATGGTACATTCAGTACCCTTCTCCAGCACCACAGCTCAAAAGCATCCACTCTCCTTCTGTCCTCCCTAGTCATTGTCCAACTCTCTGATGCATAACAAGCGATTGCAAAGACCATGGCCTGTATCAGGCACACCTTATTCTCCAGAGAGACACTGTTGCTTCTGAGTACCTTTGAGAGGTCCCTAACAGCAGACTTTCCCATCGCGATACGCTTTTTGATTTCCTGACTGCTGGTACCAAGAGTGTTTACTGTGGAGCCGAGCAAACTGAAGCTGTGAACACTCAATCTCTTCATCATCCATCCTGACGCTGCCAATTGGTCCAGTGGTGAGAATCTTTGTCTTCTTGACATTGAGCCTTAGTCCATACTGAAGGCTGCAGTCCTTGACCCTTCACAGCAAGTGCATGAGGTCCTCCTCAGTTTCAGCAAGCAGGGTTGTGTCATCTGCATAACGCAGATTGTTAATAGATCTTCCACCAATCCTGATGCCACAATTCTCCTCAAAGAGCCCAGCTTCTCAGATAATCTGCTCTGCATACATGTTGAAAAGGTATGGAGACAGGATGCATCCCTGGCGTACACCCTTCCCAATTTTGAACCATGCAGTGTTACCCTGCTCTGTTCTGACTACTGCCTCTTGATCCAAGTACAGGTTTCGCATTAGCACATTTAAATGTTCTGGGATTCCCATTCTTCTCAGAGTCAGCCACAGTTTGTTATGATCCACACAGTCAAATGCCTTTGCATAATCAATGAAACACAGACATTCTTCTGGTATTCTCTGCTTTCAGCCAAGATCCATCTAACATCAGCAACAATATCCCTAGTACGATTATTTAAAAATTTCATTTTCTGTAAATTACTTACAAAATTAAATCTGTCCTCATAAATCTTTTTATCCTGATATAGAATTTTAATACTGCTTTTAAATGGCATTCAATGCTGAAGTAATTATTATCTAAGATTTCTTTTCCTAGTGCTATTTATTTATTTAAATAATCAGGGGTAGTTATTTTTAGATATTTTATCATGTGTCACCAAAATTAACTATATTTAGACTTTGCTTTTACTGCTTAATAAGTTGTTCATTGTAATTCCTACACTGTATCTACTTTCCATTTCTAGGTATTTTTCAACCTCATGTACGACACCTTCTGGTTTTAGCAACGCCTGTGGATATAGTGATTCTTGGACTCAGTTATGCTAATTTACAAACAGGTAAGATAACCCATGGATTGCGAGGGGGTTTTGGTGAATTTTTAAAAATGTTGGATGTAATGTATTATATAAAGATAGCATATTTGACAAAATTAAATTTGTAGGCTAACTATTTACAGGAGAATAATTTTATATAGATACGGTATCTTAAGGTTGGTTGTGTAACCACAAAGAAATATTTTAGGTATGTTGTTGTTGCTTTTGATTGCCTTCAGGTCAGGCATGACTCACAGTGACCCTATGAAAAAAAGGCCTGAATGCCCTCTACAACTATCCTCATCTTTCAAAGTTCATAGAGTTTCCAGAGACGTGTTGTTTAGGAAGTGGGTGCCACTCCTGCTTCAAAACCTGCCATAGTATGTTATTGTTGCTATGTGCTGTTGAGTCACCTGCGATGCATAGCATCCTATGTACAGAAGCTCTGAACACTTCCCTGTCCTGAGCCATTCTCGCTAATTCTGACATACCAACCCTCTTTGCCCCAGTTACTGTATCACTCCATCTCATCTGGGGTCTTCCTCTCCTGTGCTGTCCATCCACCCCTCTGAGCATGATATCCTCTCCTGGCCATGTGCCCAAAGTATATGAGATGGAGCTTCAAGATGCTAGCCTCCAAGGAGAAACTTGGATTCACCTTCTCCAAGACAGACCTATTTGTTTTCTTGGCAGTTGAGTTGTGATTTTAGGTATAGTTACCATATTAATCTGTAGTTTTTAAAAGTCAAATATACTTGGAAGGTAAAAGGAAAGGAATAAATTATTTTTTTCCTTTAATTTTCGTCGTGGCCATTTTCATGTAGGGAACACTGAAATAGTTAGACTCACTGTGTGGAGTAAGTAGACTCATAACGGCCCACCATCCATTTTCCATGGTTGTGAATTTTGGTGAGAGGCTATTGTTCATATTCTCCTGCACAACGGCTTATAGGTCCCAACTGCTCGAGACCTCAACCTCTGGGTTAGTAGTACAGCTTGCTAGGGACTGTGACACCAAAGTTCTTTATGTTATCTTTTTTATGCTTTAAATAAGAGGCACTGAATATACTGTGACAAGCAAACTTAATAATTCACTTTGTGCTCTTGACATTTTTGTTTGAGTAGAATAAGGTTAAGATTTCAGTGACTCAAATTAGTTATCACTTCCATGACCTCAAACTCTTTCCCAAAACTTAATAATTTGGATTAGTTTTGTGTGACTTTGTATGTAGGGATGTAGATGTAGGAGTACAGATAATGACACAGAGGCTAAGCGCTCAATTGCTAACTGAACAGTGATTCACATCAGCCCACTCTTGGGGAAGAGAAACCCAGTGAGGCAGCTCTACTCTGTTCTCTAGGATTACTGTGATTTGAAATCACCTGGACAGCAGTGGATTTTGTGTATGCTGATAATGTGCTATCAGGTTGGTTCTGCGATATAGCAATTCTGTGAACAACTGATCAGAACTCTCTTGGATCCCTTGCTAGCCTCACAGTCAGTGCCATGCTCAAGCAAGCCCATTGTTGCAATCAGTATGTCAGTCCGTCTCACTGAGGTTGGTCATCTTTTGTGACCACCTGCTTTTTCCAAAGTCTGACTTGTCCTGAAAACACGCCCAAAGTATGTGACCCAGTTTCACCATCCTTGTCTTGAAGTTAGCACCGTGGCTGTTCTTCGTCCAGGACAGATTTGTTTGTTTGGTTTTTTGGTAGCCACATGCATGTGAAGCAATTCCACATACTATAGCTTTGATTATTGTTGTTTGTTGTTAAGTGCCATCGAGTCGTAGACGACTCATAACAATCCTGTGAATGAAAGACCTGAACACTTGTATAACTTTCTTCGCTTCTCCAAGTTCATAGGGTTTCTGGAGGCAAGCTGTTTCAGAAGTGGATGCCACTTCTGCTTCCAAGCTTATTTTAATCAGGGACCTCCACCAAACACTGTCTTTGATTAGGCATGGCTTCATTCTTTACACCAGCATCCTTGCTCTTTAACGAAGTCTTTGACATCAAGCTTGCCTAATGCAGCATGTCTTTTGCTTTCTTGACTGCTACTTCAGCTTTTGTTAATTGTGAATCTTGGTAAAATGAAATCATTTGAACTTAGTCTTTTCTCCATTTATTATCATTGGTCTAATTATGAGGATTTTTGTTTTCTCGATGTCATAGGTATAATTCATACTGACAGCAGTAATCTTTGATGATTTTCAGTAAGCTCTTTAAGTCCTCTTTATTTTCTGGAATAATTATGTGCAGGAGATTCTCTTTCACTTGAATAGAAAATTATTTTTAAAGCAGGGAGTACCAGAAAAATGTCTCTGTTTCATTGATTATGCAAAGGCATTTGACTGTGTGCATCACAACAAACTGTGGTTAACTCTGAGAAGAATGGGAATCCCAGAACATTTGATTGTGCTAATGCGAAACCTATACTTAGACAGGAGGCAGCTGTCGGAACAGAGCAAGGAAATACTGCATGGTTCAAAATTGGGAAGGGCGTGCGCCAAGGATGTGTCCAATCTCCATACTTTTTCAACCTGTATGCAGAACAGATTATCCAGGAGACTGGGCTCTATGAGGAGAAATGTGACATCAGGATTGGTGGAAGATCTATTAACAGTCTACGTTATGCAGATGACACAACCCTGCTTGCTGAAACTGAGGTGGACCTGAAGCACTTGCTGTAGAAGGTCAGGGACTGCACCCTTCAGTATGAATTGAGGTTGAATATCAAGAAAACAAAGATTCTCACCACTGGATCAATTGGCAGCATCATGATGGATGGTGAAGGGATTGAGATTGTTCACAGCTTTAGTTTGCTTGGCTCCACCCACAGTCAACTTTTGGAACCAGCAACCAGGAAATTAAAAGACATATTGCAATGGGAAAGTCGCCAATTAGAGACCCCTCTAACGTACTAAAAAGCAACAATATCAGTCTGGATACTAAGGTGTGCCTGATACAGACCATGGTCTTTGCGGTCACTTGTTATGCATCAGGGAGCTAGATAATGACTAGGGATGATAGAAGGAGAATTAATAGATGCCTTTGCACTGTGGTGTTGGAGAAGAGTATTGAATATACCATGGATTGCTAAGAGAACGAACAGGTTTGTCCTGGAGAGGGTGAAACCAGCCTGCTCCTGGAGGCAAGCTATCTGAAGCTTCGTCTGACATACTTTGGATATGTTTCAAGGAGGGACCAATCTTTGGAGAGGGACATCATGCTTGGGAGGGTGGATTGACAGCCCAGGAGAGGAAGACTTTCGATGAGATGGATAGATTCAGTGACTGGGGTAATGGGGAAGGTGTGTCAGAGATAATAAGATTGGCATAAGATAGAGCAGGGTTTAGGGCTGTTGTACATAGGGTTGCTATGAGTTGTAGGCGACTCGACGGCACATAACAACAAGACTTATACAGAACTATATGTTAAAAATGTTTTTAAAAAGTAAGTAATACCAATTCTGAAGATAATGCAGGAGTTGTTTTAAATTTTAATAAAATTGATAAACTGATTTTCTGTTTTCTTTAAAAACCAAATAGGTTCTGGAGTTCTTAATGACAGTATGTCAGGTGGAATGCAGTTACTTCCAGATCCTTTATATTCTCTTCCCACTGATAATACGTACCTTTTAACAATAACTTCCACCGACAATGGCAGAATTTTCTTGGCTGGAAAGGACGGCTGTTTATATGAAGTAGCATACCAAGTAAGTGGGACGTTTATAAGCATTGTTTTCTTCTTTCTACTTGCTAGAACAGGAATAAATAGGCTTTTGTTTTTTTCCTCATTTGTGAGCACCTATTTAGTGACATGTTTAGTTCTTAAAAATATTTTGTTGAGGTTTTGCTGCACATTAATGTATTTTTTAATTTTATAAACATATTTTTAATTTAAAAAAAATTTTTTCTACTTGTTTATTTACAAAATTCGCATACAAATTTGAAAACATGCTTTCAATTTCCCTCATCCCCCACCCCCCATCAAATTGTACAACCCAATGATTAATCCCCCTTCCCCCTGCACATCCACATCCCTCTGCTTCCAGACTCTCCCTCCCCTCCTGGATCCTTACACATTGTTTTATACATTAATGTATTCTTGATAGAAAAATGTTTGACCATATTACCAAAGCATAGTTCTATGACTGTATCATGCACAGAAAATGCATTCTCTCTAGTGTTGAAAATCATCCTCAATATTGTGTATATCCTTGTAAAACAGTGATATACATTGATGTGCATGGATATACAAATGTATTTATGGATATGTGTCATGTGTGTATATTTGTAGAAATTGTGTCCTTTTTTAAAATAATTATAGTGGTCTACTTAGGAAGTTTGTAGACATTGTTTTTCACACTGAATCTTTCCCATTTCCCTTACCCACTCTTCCTTCCACCTGTCAAATGACATAGTGTCTTTTGATTTTGTTATTTTAGTTAGTAACTCTTTGTTTCACAACTTGATTTATTCTTAACAATGTATCTTGATAGCCTTTATCTGTGTCTGGTAGCTACTCCTTACATTTTCTGATTGCTACAGAAACAGAAACACTGCTGGCAAATTGGTTCCAACTCATAGCCACCTCCCCTCAGTTTTCTCTGGATGTATATCTTTGGAGGAGACTGCCTCATCTTTCTCCCAGAGAGCTACTGGTGAATTTTAGCTGCCCGCCTTTTGATTTCCCAGCTCAGCAAGTACCACACTATACCAGTAGGGCTCCTTTTCTTTGGTTTTGGTTGTTGTTGTTTTTTTAAATTTTATTTTATTGTTTTTTGTGCATGTACTGTCAAATCAGATCTGACTGGTACAGGAGGAAACCGTCCCTCCTTCTCCGGCAGAGCATCTGGTGGATTCGAACCATGTATCTTTGCGATTGCAGTACGGTTTCTTGCCACTAGGCCACCAGAGCTCCCTTTGGTTTTGTAACCGTTCATCACCATCATGTGGGAACTAACTCAAAGCTCACAATGCAGTAGGTTTTTGAAGACTGTGGGTCACATTGGAGGAGATCGTGCATCTTTCTTTTGCCAATCTGCTGGTGGATTTGAACCACCACGAAGGTGTAGCGACTGAGGTAGCAGCACAGCTCCCTACCTTCTGCACTACCAGCTCTCCCTTTCTTGGCTCCTCAGTCATTTCTAAAAGGGATGCACATGGTTTACTTAACAGTGCCTCTCCTAGTGAACTTTGCCTGGTTTTCAGTTTTTCATAAGGTTCCAGTTAAAATTCTTTTACACATATCAGTAGATACTATTTTTAGAGTAAAAACCTAAGATTGTAATTGATGAGTTACATAAACACACTTAAAATTATGTTTAATACTTTAGTATTATCCTTACAAAGGTTTAGACTTAATAGTTGAATGTTTCCTTTCTTCTCCCTAACCCTAACACTCATTATGAAGATATTAATTTTTTTGCCAATCCAGTGGAAGCAGATGTATTTGTTTTTAATAATACTGCACAACCTTCATATTTATTTCTTTGTTGTTTTTTTGTGGATTTTGTTGTTTTTTGTTTTTTTCACTGAATTGACTACTCTCTGCCTATTTTTTATTTCTCCATTTTTGCCTTTTGCATAAGGTAAATTGTGAAATTGAAATAGTTACCACTGGCCAAAAGGTTGGTGGTTTGAATCTACCCAAAGACCCCTTGGAAAACAGTCCTTATGGTCTGTTTTTAAAAGATTAAACCAGAAAACCAAATCCGCTGTCATCTAGTGGATTCTGAATCAGGGTTTTCCAAGGTTGTAAAGTAAGAGACTGCCCATCTTTCTGCTAAGAATAGCTGGTAGATCCAAACCTCTGATCTTTTGATTAACAGCAAACTTGCACTGCACTATGCCACCAGCGCTCCTTTAAAAGATCTTCCTTGATATGTGGGGCCTTTCTGCAGTCCGTACAAATGAGGTTACCATGAGTCAGAACTGACTTCACAGCAACTGACCATATCAAATACAGCCTCATAGTCACTTGGGTAGTTAGTACAAGAGCTCAGATTAGAAACCAGGCTTGCTTTGGTTGTGTGAGTTATTATACCATTGTACCTCTACCTTCCCAGCTTCTTATGGCTTTGCTCCAGTTATGACAGAACTCAACAGTAAGAAAACTGTAGATTGCAGTCACGACCGCTTCATTTTTCTCATTTAAGTGGGAAAACATAAAGATACCGTTTCATTTCCTGAAGCTGTGACACTTATAAAAAGTGCTTTTTATTTTCCATACTCTTTTTAAATCATCATTTTCAAGATAATTAAAATATTTGTTTACTAGTAGCATTTCTGAGATTCCTGAGACAAATAGCTGATTTCTTTCATTATGACTAAATGTTGTTGTTGTTGTTGTTATGTGACTTTGGGTCACTTGTGACTCATAGTGACCCTATGTACAACAGCCCTAAACCCTGCTCTATCCTGTGCCAACCTTACTGTCTCTGACACACCTGTTCCCACCACCTCAGTGACTGAGTCAATCCATCTCGTCAAGGGTCTTTCTCTCTTGCACTGTCCCTCAACCCTCCCAAGCTAATAATATCACTCAATTCAGTATTTGAATTGTGTGTTTTGCTTAATTATAATCTTTGATGTTTCACTGGGATTTGGACAGTCTTATATACATGGATATATGATGATTGGCATGATGGAACCACATTATTATTATTTCTTTAAGGCAGAAGCTGGTTGGTTTAGCCAAAGATGCAGGAAAATAAACCATTCAAAGAGTGCACTTTCTTTCCTCGTTCCTTCAGTGCTACAGTTCACATTTTCAGAAGATGGTAAGAAAACCAAACTTTTAATCTTGGTTACATAACATTTTCTTTAGAAATTGTCATTCTTAGGGAGCTCTGGTGGCCTAGTGGCAAGACACTGCACTGCAATCCCAGAGGTACTTGGTTCAAGTCCACCAGATGCTCTGCTGGAGAAGGAGGGGGCAATCTCCTCCTGTACCAGTCAGATCTGATTTGACGGTACACATAAAAATAATACAATAAAAATGTAAAAAAAAAAAGGATAAAAGGATTCATTTAAAAAAAATTGTCATTCTTAATTAAAACAGTTTGTCATGTTATGTATTATTTGTTATGCATTCCTAAGATACCGTTAAAAGAAATATAATAAGGAGGGTTTTTTTGGGGGGGGGTTTGGAGGAAGATACTTACGTATGTACCTCAGGGAACGGGTGCCCAAAACATCTATGCGTACTTAGAGGCCCTGTGTTTGGGAATCCATTAGACAGATACTAAAGTTGCAGTTAATTCTCATTATTGCTGAATTCTGTAATCATTAAATTGCCTACTCTGTAAATTTAACAGTTTAATTTGTTATAAATAGTTCTTGTGTTTGGTTTGTTAATTTTTTTTCTTTCTCATTTTTAGATCCTATTGTTCAGATTGCAATTGATAATTCTAGAAATATTTTATATACACGATCTGAGAAGGGAGTAATACAAGTAAGTATTAATAGTATGCTATTCCCTGGAAAGGGTTATCATGCTTTTAAGGTGGAGAGTCAGCAAAAGAGAGAAAGACCCCAAACGAGGTAGATTGACACAGTGGCTGCAGTGGTGGGCTCAAGTGTATCAGAGATGATGAGGATGGCACAGGGTTCAGATATGTTGTTCATAGGGTTGATATGAGTCATACTCAACTCAGTGGCACCTAACAACACTTCCTTTCAAGGGGAGTAGGAGGATGCCCTACTTTTTCTTTTATTTTTTAAATTTTATTCTTTTAGTGCATGTACCGTCAAATCATATCTGACTGGCTCAGGAGGAGACTGCCCCTCCTTCTCCAGCAGAGCATCTGGTGGATTTGAACTGCGTTCCTTTGTGATTGCAGTGCAGCTTCTTGGCCACCAGGCCACCAGAGTTCTCTGGGACTCCCTACTTTTAAGGAAAAAGACTCTATTTTTCTTGTGATGTTTATTCTCTTAAAAACATTCCCAGACCACTTCATAGGCCCCCTTATTAATAGATTTTGAATCTCAGCATTTCCACATTTGTTTATAAAATACTGAGATCCTTAGAAAGGGGGGTAAATTGTTTTGTAAATGTATGCAATATAAAATTGGTTGTGGTTTTGTTTGTTTATTTGTTTTTTAATTAAAATACAATTTTTATGTGTAGGTTTATGATTTGGGTCACGATGGACAAGGAATGAGCAGAGTTGCTTCTGTTTCACAGAATTCTATTGTCTCTGCTGCTGGAAACATTGCACGGTAATATGTAATTAATTGTCAGATGTTTTATTTATAGACAGCTAAACTATGTGCATGTGGTATGGTGACATAAAAAAGATCATTTTAAAGTGTTAAAAAGCATAGATACCCTCTTGAAGACCAAGGTCTACCCATCGTAAGCCATTGTGTGCTCAGTTGGAAGCTGGAAAGTGAGAAAGCTGGACAATGAGTAAGAAAGACTAGAAGATAATTGACGTATTTAAGTTAGGGTGTGGCAGAAAATAATGACTATAAAAGACTGCCAGAAAATGAACAAATCTATTTTTAAAGAAATAAAGCTAGACTGCTTCTTAGAAACATCATCTCATGTACTTTCATACATTCTCATGTTCTTTTTTTTCCTCCCCCCATCCTAGTTTGTTGTGTACCTTCGAATCAGATCTAATTGGTATAGGAGGAGATTGCCCCTCTTTCTCCAGCAGAGAAATCTGGTGGATTCTCATTTACTTTTTTGTGAAGTCTTAAAAGACTTCATGTTGTATATTTGCACCATGTTATCAAGTGGGACCAGTCTGAACAAGATAAATTGACAGAGTACCTGCAGTATGGGCTCAGTCTTTGCAGTGATTTGAAGAATAGTACAGAATCAGTGTTTCTTTCCATTATAAATTCAGTCACTGAATTGGAACTGACTCACTAGCACGTGACAACAGTTGTTCTTTCCTCAAGATATATCTATAAAGTACAGGGTAGAGAGAGAGTTTTTCATAATTTGAAGCACAGCTGCTGGAGACTTCATTTTATTAGACCATTATTCTTACATTTGGTGGCTTAAGACTTAAGACAGGGCACAAATACTGATCTCTTCCTGTCTACAGTAAAGAAGAATAAAAAACTAAAGACTTAAGGAATCAGTTAGTCACAAGGATTCCTGGCGCACATGAACTGTAGTCTAACTCGACTACCCAATAGCAGAACTAGATAGTGCTACGACTGTTGACCATTCGGAAAAGAAATGTAATAGAAAGTACCAGTTAGAAGGGGTAAAAAATGTGGAGGAAAATTAAAATCAGTGGAAGAGTCTAGACTTAGTGCTCAGATAGACTGTAACCCTAAGAAGACCCTCTTGTAACTTAGAGTTGAAGCCACTCTCAGAGATTGCCTTTCAGCCAAATAATGGGCCTTAAAGTAGATATAAACCTGTGATGAATGTGCTTCTCTGAGCCGTCTTCCACCAAGTGGGCAGCACTTCTCCAGAAACAAAGGTGGGAACCAGACAGGGACAAAGAAACTAAAGGAATGGAAACAATCCAGAGTGGAAATGGGAAGCTTGCTGACATTACAGCCAGTGTCGCTCAAACTATTGAAGGAGAAACTCTCCTCTCATCAAAATAGAACGTTTAACACAAAACTGATTTTGAATTTTTGAAATAACAGCATTTTATTTGTTTTTCCTTTGAAAAACATATATTCTTTAAAGTCCTATGTTTCATTTGTTAACATTTTGTCTCGTTTACTCGCTTTCTCATAAATAAACTTTGGAGGTAGTTGTAGACATCACGGCTGTAATAGTGCTAATCTAACTATGAGGATATCTTATTTCTCATCAGTCATTTATCCATTGTTTTTAGCTATTCTTCCATGATCTTTATTTGACCAAAAGGAATAAATTGGAATAAAGGGTTATGCTTTAATAACCTGAAGCGGTTGGGAGGACGGTGCAGGATAGGGCTGTCCTCCCTTATTGTTCATAACATCACCAGGAGTGGGAGCTGACTCCGGCATTTAACTACAGATTAATATTACAAAACTTAGAGTTACGAAGTTATGTTGCCAGTTGTTGATGTTTTCTTAAGCATCGATAACTTTCCTAAGAAGTTAACCTTGAATTGTTTTATGTTTAGCCAGGTCAGAATGCTGATGAGAAACATTTCTTCATCATTTAATAGAACATTTTGAAAATACATTTAGACCTATCTCTCTCTTTTTTTAGGACCATAGATCGTTCTGTTTTTAAGCCAGTTGTTCAGATAGCAGTGATTGAAAATTCCGAGTCACTCGATTGTCAGTTATTGGCCATCACACATACAGGTATATTTATATATGTGCCATCCTTGTTTAATAATCCTCCTTTTTTGACTTTCTAACTATCAATCCCTGTTAAGATTTTTGTGCCAATTATAAGATCATGTTAAAAATTATAAAATTAAGAAGTGTGCAAACTGAAAGTTTTCTCTGGTTCTGTCTCTATTTTTAGATAAAAAGTTGGAAACCAGGATAAAGGCCTGCTGTCACTCAGCCTGAATTGGATCCCAGGCTCCCCTTGTTTATAATTGCAGATTATTTCCCTTGTAATATGTTAATTCATCTCTCCTTTCTTAGTAATGTTTTAACAGAAATCCATTTTAGTTCATTGTCTGGATGATGATTTAAAACCGTTGAGGAGAGTGACAGATGATTTCAACAGACTTGTGTTCCTTCCTGTATGGAATTGCTTCCGTAGAAGTACTTGCACGCAGCTCATTTGTTTTGTGTGACTGATGTGTAATTTTTGCCATCATCCAGGTGTACGGTTGTATTTCAGCACTTGTCCATTCAGACAGCCATTAGCGCGGCCCAATACCCTGACCCTGGTTCACGTTCGCTTACCTCCTGGATTTTCAGCATCTTCAACTGTGGAAAAGCCATCAAAAGTACATAAAGCCCTTTATAGTAAAGGTATGTTCTAAAGTACTGTTTGTTTTTTTTGGTTTTTTTTAAAATTTTTTTTCTAACGTACTGTTTAATAATGATTTTTTAAAATTATTAAATCACATGGAATTTTGAGTCGTTTGAAAAGCAGTGTGCCAGTAAAGTTTAGAATGCTTTTAATTTTACTCAAATGTAGAATTGATTTCTGTTTCACACTGACATTTAATATATTTACTCTGTCTATAAAGACTGGGGTTCTTTGGTGGCCTAGTGGTGCGGAATTGAATAGGTATGGGGAGAGGATATAGCTTTAATGTACATCTTTCTTGATTTTAAACCATAGAGTGTTCCCTTTCTCTGTTCACATGACAGTTTCTCAGCTTAGGTACAGGTTTCACATGAGCACAATGAAAAGTTCTGGAATTCCCATTCTTCTCAATGTCAGCCATCATTTGTTATGATCCACATAGTCAAATCCCTGTGCATAGTCTGTTCAAAGAGACATTTTTCTTGTATTCTCTGCTTTCAGCAAAGATCCACCTGACTCCAGCAATGGTGTCACAGCCTCTTCTAAACGTAGCCTGATTTTATTTAGGAGGTATTAAAATAGGGATGTCAGACTTCTTCCAGCTATGCTGTTTTCTTTTTCAAGCTGGTTTTAACTATTAAAAAACTAGAATTGTATTGAGGAATGCCTGTCTGTGGTCTTAATTAGTACAATTCAATCAAATTTTAGTTATTTAAACATTGTAATAGAAACTATTCTCAACTTTTCAGAAGCCACTTACATGTTCTAACTATGGTTTTTTTGGATTTTTTAAAAATTTGATGTACTGTCAAATTGGATTCTCCTCGTATAAGAGGAGATTGCCCTTTCTTCTCCAGTGGAGCATCTGGTGGATTTGAACAATGTTTTAACTATGTTTGCATCACATAAAACAGTGTATTGGACTCAAGATGCTATTAATAAAGTCAGATTAGCAGGGAAATTTGAAATAAGAAATGAGATTTAGCACAGGAGAGCAGAAATCAAACTGTTACCACTTATTTTTGCTGAGATACTGCTTTTGTAATATGGTTCTCTCTTTTGTAATATGGTTAGCACCTTCGTAATTTCCCCATACTGTGTTTGGGTTAACCAGTACCTAAACTGTCTTATTGAATAGTAGATAGCTGTTACTTGTAAGTTACACCGTTTTTTTTAAGTACTGATAAGATTTTTTTTAAAGTGTTGATTAATTTGATAATCTTGATTATAAGATGTGTCCTAACTTCTGGATTGCTCAAATATGAAATAAATGTTTACCTAAAACAAAAAAATGCAGCCTAAGATACAAGCCATCTTTCCATTTACTGCTGTACCAAAAAATATGTTTGTTTATGCAGGCTTGTTTACTCATAAACATGATTGTTAATTACTGTCTAGTTTGCATTTGTATATCTATGTGTATAAATGCTTATTAGTTAAACCACTTATTGGGGCTGTGTACTCTTTGACAGCATATAGTAAGATTTTGTATATTAAACTTTTAGGCATTCTCTTGATGGCAGCCTCAGAAAATGAAGATAATGATATTTTGTGGTGTATCAACCATGATATATTTCCTTTCCAAAAACCAATGATGGAGACTCAGGTAAATTATCTTGAGGATTGTGGGTGGGGGAAACATTTTTTTTGAGATGTATGGACTGAGGCTCAATGTCAAGAAGACAAAGATTCTCGCCACTGGACCAATTGGCAGCGTCAGGATGGATGACGAAGAGATTGAGAGTGTTCACAGCTTCAGTTTGCTCGGCTCCACAGTCAACACTCTTGGCACCAGCAGTCAGGAAATCAAAAAGCGTATCGCGATGGGAAAGTCTGCTGTTAGGGACCCCTCAAAGGTACTCAGGAGCAACAGTGTCTCTCTGGAGACTAAGGTGTGCCTGATACAGGCCATGGTCTTTGCAATCGCTTGTTATGCATCAGAGAGTTGGACAATGACTAGGGAGGACAGAAGGAGAGTGGATGCTTTTGAGCTGTGGTGCTGGAGAAGGGTACTGAATGTACCATGGACTGCCAGGAAAACAAACAGATTCATCTTGGAGAGGATTAAACCAAGCTACTCCTTGGAGGCAAGGATTCTGGGGCTTCGTCTGACATACTTTGGACATGTTGCCAGGAGGGACGGGTCCTTGGAGAGGGACATCATGCTTGGGAGGGTGGAGGGACTGTGCAGGAGGGGAATACCCTCTATGAGATGGATCGATTCAGTGACTCGGGTAATCGGGATGGGTGTGTCAGAGGCAGTGCGGTTGGCGCAGGATAGAGCAGGGTTTAGGGCTGTTGTGCATAGGGTCGCTATGAGTCGGAAACGACTCGACGGCACATAACAACAACAACAACAACAAATAATATTTAGATATAGAGATAGAGATGTATATTTCAATTGAGTAACAATGTTGTTGCTGTATGCCTTCAAATTGGAACATATGCATAGCTGACCCTCTGTTGAGTTTTCAAGGCAGCAGAATTCATGGAAGGGGATTGCCCATCCTCTAATAGAGTAGCTGGTGGATTTGAGCTCTTGGGATTGTAATGAACCTTCTTCCTACAAGGATACTGGAGCCCCACTGAAGAATAATGTGCTCGATAATTTAGTTGTATGATTTGTTTGCTCCCTTCTAATACCTTTGTACAATTTGAAATCATAATGAAATGAAGCATGGGGGGAAAAAGATGTCCTGCCACTCTTATTTTTCCTTTGTTAAGTAAAAAAACCCATAATGACAACCAGCCCAAAGGTACTTGGTTCAAATCTACCAGCTGCTCCATAGGAGAAAGATGGGAAATCTCCTCCTATAGGATTGTTAAGTCTGAGAACCCACTGGAGGCTAAGCGATGGGTCGGTTCTGATTTGACTGTACACAACAACAATAATCAGTGGAAACACTTTCACCAAATTATTGCAGCCATTTTAGTGGTGTTTACTTATGAGACTATACACTGTAATTATGACTTGAGTTTTGTGTTTTTTGGGTTTTTTTTTAAATTTTTTATTTTTATTTTATTTTATTATTTTTGTGTGCGTGTACCGTCAAATCAGATCTGACTGGTACAGGAGGAGATTGTCCCTCCTTACCCGGCAGAGCATCTGGTGGATTTGAACTGTTCGCCTCTGGGATTGTAGTTGCAGCTCCTTGCCACCAGAGGTCCCCATGACATGAGTTTTAAGAATAATAAAATGATCACACATATTTGCATATGGAAGTAATAGCAAACTGATCCTCACAGTAAAGAATTACATTTTCCCCATGTTTAATTTCTTTCCTAAATATGTGTGTTCACAAACACTTGAGAGAGAGAGAGAGAGTGTGTGTGTGTGTGTGTGTGTAAGAAAATGGAAACAACTCAAATGCCCATCCATAAACGAATAGATTGAGAAATTGTAGTACATTCATTCAGTGAAATACTATGCAGCACTAAGAAGTAATGATTAACAGAAGAGTCTAGAGAGTGTGAGGCTGAGTGAATTAACTCAGTCTCATAAAGATGAAGGCTGCATAAGACCGTTGTAAAAACAGAAGGATGACTGAGCAAGATGTGTATAAATGTTCAAAAAGTGAAAGGGAGATGAAGAGGGGGGTGGAAAAGGGAGAAGAGGATTAGTGGGTGGGTGGGAGGGTGAAGGAATATGAAAAATTCAGTATGGACTTAAAAAGGTGAGGTGATGATAGACAAGGATCAATAGTAAAAATTAAAGTATATGGATGCTTGTATAAAAAATGTACATGCATGAAACAGTGTATATGGGGAAAAACTGCTCAAAACTTATACACACACCCACAGTGTGTGTGTAAGTTTTTAGAGGATTATTGGGTTTTTTAAATATTTAGCATGAAGTATAATGTCTATAACTTAATTTCAAATGCTTCACTTAAAAAATTATATACACACACAGGTAAAGCATATTTGGTAACAGTCATTAAAATTATGATTTGTTAAATCTAGTTATATATATATAAATATAAAATGTTTTATAAGACTAAATCTCTTTAAAAAGTAGTATCTCGATTTAGAAAACAGGTAAAACCTCAGAAAAGAATAAAAATACTCAGGTCAGTAATTATAAATAGTAAATCTGCTTATATAAGTGAATCTAGAAAAAAATGATGGTAAGCATAGCCGGTCTTGATTTAGAGAAAGTATGATGATTCTAGTTTCCTGTGAGAAAATTTTGCTTTTGTCCTCTGGTACTATAATTTATAAATTCCAAAGAAGATTAAAAGAATAGGGCAATTATTTTGTGATATGCCTGTGTTTTTAGATGGGAAAGTTAGTTTTGTTTCATGTAACTTGAATAAAACCTGGTTTGGGTTTTGTTTGTTTCTTAAATTTAGATGACAACTCGTGTTGATGGTCACTCCTGGGCTCTATCTGCAATAGATGAAATTAAAGTGGATAAGATAATCACACCATTAAATAAGGATCATATCCCAATAACTGACTCACCAGTTGTTGTTCAGCAGCACATGTTGCCGCCAAAGAAGTTTGTTCTCCTCTCTGCGCAGGTGTGTGCTTATACTGTAAAAATGGAAACAAAACCAAGAAAGAGTTCAAGTACTCAGCAACAGTCACAAAAGAGATTAATTTAAGTATTTGTGAATGTATATTTTCATTACATTCCTAAAAAGTAATTTTTTTCTCTCAGAACTTTCTCCTTTTTTTCCAGTAATTGTGCTGCTTCATTTTTTAAAAAATAATTTTACTGAGCATTTACAGAGATTTTGGATTTCCATTCATTCATTGCTGCACTTCTCTTCCCGCCCAGCCCCTCCCTAATTGTGCTACTTCTATGCGTAGTATAAAGCTTAATATGTTTTGGTTTTCATATGTTGTAGAGCCAGCAGCTGTTTCACTTTTCAGCTCTCCTACTTATTTTCTCTGCTTACCTAGGTTGGCTGTAGCTTAGGACTTGAAACATAGATGACCTTTTAGATCAGTGTACTTGGCATTTGTTAATTTCTTTAATTTTTTTATTAAGGTACTACCAGTCTAATTACATTATTAATCATGTTTTTTCTTTTTATTTATTTCTTAGGGGAGTCTTATGTTTCATAAACTTAGACCCGTAGATCAGCTGAGGCATCTCCTTGTGAGTAATGTGGGTGGAGATGGAGAAGAGATTGAAAGATTCTTTAAATTGTACCAGGTGATTATTTGTAACGTATTTTTAAAGTTAGTGATTTTTTTTTTAAACAAGAGAATGGCTTAAATTTTATGACCAGTAGTACCAATATATAATAACAAACATAATCTTACCTGTATTTCTTTTTATACCGGCAATACTATATATATGTACACTGATAGGGGGAGTGAACTTACTATATACGTTATAAAACTTAAAACTCTCATATTATTATTTTACATTGTTGATAAACTATTATCATTAAAGTGCATTAGGAAGAGTCTGATATTGACATTTTTATTATAAGCACAAGATGTTTATGGGCCACACTCAAACCCACTGTTGTTGGGTTTGTGGTGACTCATGATGACCATATAGTGCAAAGTGGTGCTGCGCCAAGGAGTGTTCTGAGGCTGTAAATCTGCCTGGTAGCGGACTGCCTCATCTCTCTCCTTCATGAGCAGCTGATAGATTCAAAACACCAGCCTTTCAGTTAGCATTTTAACCATTGTGTCACCAGACAGAGTGCCTTCATTAATGGGCAAGTCTAGATTTATTTTTTATGTGTTTTGTTTGTTTTTGCTTAATAACATGTGAAACAAGCTCAAGATAATAGTGATAAGTTGAGAATGCTTAGTGTGAAATCAGTTATTTATGTACACACTCTGGATTCAAATGACTGTGTTAAAAATGCCAACTCCACCACTGGACCAAGTTCCTTGAACTCTGTGTGCTGCAGTTCTTCACTTTTTTTTTTCTTTTTTTTAAATTTTATTAATTTTAATGAACATTTACAGAGATTTTGGATTTCCATTCATTCATTGTTGCACTTTTCTCCCTGCCCAGCCCTCCGCCCCCAGTTCACTTCTCTCTTTGAAAAGTAAAAGAAAAATTCTTTCATTGATACATAATCCCCCTGCAACACCCCCCCCCAACCCTGAGTACATTCCACTATGCAACCTTGATTCTGGACTCTTGTGAGAATCATAATACCCTATCATATATCACTTTTAAATTATTCTCTCCCTCATCTGTTTCAATGCAGTATACATAATTTATCCAGTTTTTCTCAGTCTTACCCCAACCCTGATGTCAGTCCCATTCTAAAACAGTGGCACCATGCAGTATATGTCCTTTTGTGACGGAGATATTTCACTCAGCATAATATCCTCCAGGGTCACCCATTTTTTGATAATATTGCATTAATTCCTTGTCTATCAATGCAGCGTAGTATTCCATTGTATGAGTATACCACAGCTTCTCTATCCATTCATTTGTTGATGGGCACTTGGGTTGTTTCCAACTCTTTGCTATTGTGAACAAATCCGCGATAAACATGGGTGTGCACAGTTCTTCACTTTTCAAGTATGCATTGTGTTATAATAGTTGGTGACATAAGGATAAATGTATATTCTTAAAATAACACCTATCACATGATCCCAAAGTCCAGACCCACTGCCTTCATGTTGTTCAACTCATAGCAACCCTCTTTTGAGTCCTATTATTGTAAATATTTATGGAGGAGACTTGCCATCATCCTTCTTAGAAATGCACAGTGGACTTGAACTGCTGACCTCTCAGTTATCAGCCTGACACAGTACACTCTACACCGTTGTTGTTGTTGTTGAATGCCGTCGAGTCGTAGACTACTCATAGTGACCCTATGAATGAACAGCCTGAGCACTGTTCATACATAGAGTTTCTGGAGGCAAGCCATTTCAGAAGTGGATGCCACTCCTGCTTCCAGGCTTGATTTAGTCGGGAAGCTCCAGCCAACACTGTCCACCATGGGTGCCCATTACCACGATTAGGGCTTCTTAACACAAGAGGTACTCATTAAATGTTAGCTGCTACTGTAGTCATGGTTTTTAAGGGGAAAATAAAAATAGAACCATAAACTAGAAAACTAAATTTGAGTTTTCATTACAAAAAGTGAGTGGAAGTATTCTTTAATAATATCCATGACAGTTTTTTAACCAATAGTAGTGACTTTTTTATACCAGATTTCATTCTGACAGCACATATTTGAGCACTTAACTGTGTTACCACATAGCTGAAAACATTAGGTAAAACAGTAAACAAAGCTGTTTTTAATTGTTATTGTTTTTTTTTTATTTCCCACAGGAAGACCAGGCTTGTGCAACATGCCTTATCCTTGCATGCTCCACTGCTGCCTGTGACAGAGAAGTGTCTGCCTGGGCAACTCGAGCTTTCTTCAGGTGTGTGTTCATTTTCTTCTGTACTTGACCACTTCGAAAATGGTTACTTCGGCCCATGTGACTATGATTTGACTGTGTCGAGTGTGAAATTTTATGGATAATGTGTTAGTTGGAGGTGGTAGTGACAGTTCTTTGTTAAGGCCTGCAAAACAGTTGAATGTCTTGTAGAAAGATTCTGATACTCATTTGCAAAAGGGTAAAGTAAAAAAAGATTATAGTACTACTGAAAGTATTTCGATTTAGCCTCATTTATAATGGTAATCAGACTTTCATACAATTTTTCTGGATTCTCTTCAAGTTCAGTTTAGCCTTTTCTTTTTTAACTTCTTTCTGCCTCAGTTACCATCTCTTCTGTCATTTTTGCTTTCTCGAGCACTTTTTTGTGTGTGTGTACTGAGCTCCCTTCAAGCACTTTTAATCAGTTCTTCCTTTTGTTGATTGTTGTTGTCATGTGCCATCAAGTCACCTGCAACTCTTAAGACCCTGTGTACAGGAGCCTGCTCTATCCTGAGCCAGTCTCACTGACTCCAGGATACCTGCCCCCATTGTCCCAATTACTGTATCAATCCCATCTCATTCAGGGTCTTAACTCCCCTGCGCTGTCTCTCCACCCTTCGAAGATTCATTTCCTTCTCCAACGCCTGGTCTCTCCTGACCATGTGCCCAAAGTGCATGAGACAGAGCTTAAAAATCCTAGATTCCAAGGTGAAATTTGGTTTCACACTCTCCAAGATAGATCTATTTGTTAGTGGTGGCAAAAGATCTGAAATTCTTTTTAAGGGAATTTTGTTTCAAATATATTTTTATTTGAAAAATAGTTAAGAGTGAGAATTTGCAATGTGATTAAAATTTCTGTGAAAAATACTATTTAAACATGATCTCCTATGAAAATTTGTTGTTGCTGTTTTTACCTATGAGTCAAAACTGACTCATAGTTGATCTTGGAGAAAGTTTTTATTAAATAACTCTTTAATTTAGTTGTAATTTTAACAAACATTTACATAGAAGTTAGATTTTTATTCATTCCTTATTGTACATTTTATCCCCTTGCCCTTCCTCCCCTCTTCCTCAGTTCACTTTTTTCTTTTTAAATATTCATTCATTTAAATAAATTAAAAATTTAAATTAAAATTTTCTTTTTAAATATAACTGTTGCACAATTGCCTCCTCTCTAAGCAAATTTTCAGAGGCTATAAGTTGTGTGCGAAGAAATGCACATTTTTTTCTCACGGAGCAGCTGGTGAATTTGCACTATGCTCCTTTAGGTTGGCAGCACAACTCCTTGCCACTAAGTTACCAGAGCTCCATTAATCATTACATAAATTCTATACCTTTTTTTTTTTTTAAAGCAACTAGCACAGATTTCGTTGTTCTTCCTGGTAGTGGTTCTAGGTCAATTTATTCTGTAATCTATGCATATAGAGGGAGCTTTGGTAGCCTAGTGATAAGAAACTGTACTTCAGTTCTGAAGGTTTGTGATTCAAATCCACCAGTTCCACATGAGAAATAAAGACAGTCTCCTCCCATGAGATTAACTGCCTCTGAAAGCCCACTGGAGGATCAGCTCTGGGTCGCTTCTGACTCTATGGTATACAATAGCAACAGCATGTCTATATTTCACTATAATCATAATACCATTTAAATTGCTTAAAGAACTTACTTTGAAACTAATCAGGACTAATCAGTAGCAACAATACTATGATGGTAAGTTTTATTAAATAAGTTCACCTTCTTGTCATCAAAACAGGTACGGCGGTGAAGCACAGATGAGATTTCCAACCACTCTTGCCCCTCCAAGTAATGTGGGTCCCATCTTGGGGTCTCCTGTTTATCCTAGTGAGTATGAATCATTGAAATTTTACAAACTTTGTGTAACATGTTTTAAAGGATGCCTAAGGTATTTAACCTTGCTGTTGTTGTTAAGTGTCATTGAGTCGTAGGTGACTTATAGTGACCCTGTGAATGAAAGACCTGGACACCTGTATAACTTTCGTCCTTTTCCCAGGTTCGTAGGGTTCCCAGAGGCAAGCTATTATGGAAGTGGATCCCATTCCGGCTTCCAAGCTTGTTTTAATCAGAGAGCTCCGCCAAACACTGTCCACCATGGGTAACCTTTCTCACATTTGACTCATAAGGGTCACAGTGTTTGGCTTCATAGCAACCATGAGTTACCTCTGTATAGCAAGAAGACATACCAGGGTTATATGACCTAGAAGACTGTTTCACCAAAAACAATTAAAGGTGCACCTGAGGGCTGCGAAGTAGAGTCACTCACCTTTGGCTTGGCAACATGACTTTCTGTCCTCTAGGCCAACTGATCTTGCTCTGTGTTGTTGTTGTTGTTAAGTGCCGTTGAGTCGTAAGTGACTCATAGCGACCCTTTGAACAAAGGACCTTGGATACCTGTATAATTTTCATCCTTTCTCCAGGCTTAAACAGAGTAATATATTATTACTGAAACCCTGATGTTTACTAAGGAACAAAATAATGTAACCCGTAGTAGAGAATCTACTTCTCATTTAGGAAGCATTGGTGGGCTAGTGACAAGAAGCTAGGCTGTAATTCTTTTTTTTTTTAAATTTTTTATAATTTGTGTGTGTGTGTGTGTGTGTGTGTGTACTGTCAAATCAGATCTGACAGGTACAGGAGGAGATTGTCCTTCCTTTCCCGGCAGAGCATCTGGTGGATTTGAACCGTGCGCCTCAGACTGCAGTGCAGCCTCTTGCCACTAGGCCACCAGAGCTCCCCTAGGCTGTAATTCTTAAGGCATGTGGTTTGGATTCACCAGTTGCTCCACGGGAGAACAATGGGCAGTCTGTTTTATTGCAATTAATGGTCTCTGAGAAACTGCTGGCTGGTCAGCTATGGATCTGTTCTGAAAAAGCAAGAGGAATGTTATAAAAAGATCAGTGCTTTCAAAGTGAGAAATATTAGAAATGACAAGTTGAGGTGAGTCTCTTGACTCTTCACTGTGTTACGAGTAGTACCACTTTTCATGCTTAATGCTTGCAAATAGCATTAAGCATGTGTTTATGTTTGATTTACTTGAAAAGATTAGGAGATTATTTTATAAATCTTAATATTCCTTCATTTTAGGTTCTCCTTTACCAAGTAGTCCATATCCAAATCCAGCCTTTCTGGGAACACCACCTCAAGGTACCTTTTTGTTTGTTTGTTTTAGAGGATTGCTCTTTTTGAACTAACATTAGTTACCTGTAATGCATAGTGTGAAAGAGATCAACCTATGCTGTTCCATTAACAGTGGTAGGATCTGTAGAAGTTGCATCAAAACCACTATTGGCATTTGGCCATGAATGTCTGTTTAGAAACTCCTTTAGCAGCATAGGGTGCTCTAGTTGGTTAGTAGTTAAGTGGCACTGCCAACCCGAAGGCTTGCGGTTCAGATCCACCAGCTGCTCTGAGGGAGAGAGGTAGGCAGTCTCCTGCCATGTGATTTACATCCTCTGAAAATCAGTCAGATAAGTCAATTCAGCAACAACAGTGGGTCGTGGTGGTTGTTCAGCAGTATGCGTGGAAAATTTATTTGAAAACGAGAATGTAATTAATTATGCATTGAAATCACTATGGAAAAAAACTGGTTGAAAGTTTTTTCATCCTCCATTGCAACTGTCTAGAAATATTTATTCACTCTTCAGTCTTAGTTTAGTACTCAGAAAACCGCCACACACTTCATACTGTCTTTCTCACCCCACTGCACTCCCCGTCCTCTGCCTAGTCAAGTGAGAACCAACTCTTAGTGGACCCCCTCCATAGAGTTTTTGGATGATTGTTGGCATAGGAAAAGATTGCCCCACTCTTCCTTCAGAGCACCTAGTAGATTCACACTGCCTTTGAGTTAACAGTCCAACTCCCTGCCTTCAGAGCTTCCTCTCTTGCCTATTAAGGAAAACAGAATTAATTTTCCATTTATTTGACTATTTTTAGAAAAAATTTTATTTATGGTCCATGAAAAGAGCTTGGATTATTGAGAATTGGGACTCTTTTTAGAGAATTTCTTTTCTTCCTTCTTGTCTAAGGTTTGCACCCTTCTTCAATGTCTACACCACTGTCTGCTGCAGTACACCCAGCAACCCAGCCCACAAGCCTGAGCTGTATGGCCGGACCAGAGATGGTTTACTCTGGAAAACACAATGGTATTTGCATTTACTTTTCTCGGATTATGGGGTAAGTTTTCCTTGAGTGATTTATTGCTTGCCTAGTCTATTTTCAGAGATTTGACATTTTAAAATATAAGTTGGTAATGTTTGTTTCTAATAAATAAATATTAGTGTTAGCTTAATATTAGTGTTAGCTTACTTATTAAGATTTTTTTTTTATATCAAACAATTTATTTCTGTTCATACGGGTGTGTGTGTGGGGGGTGTGTGTGTATGTGTTACAGACTGCCTGCTTATAACTCAGTAGGTACACTTGCAGGTAATCTGGACACTTTGTTTGCATTGGTTGGGCCCCTCGTGTGTGCAGTCAGCTATGAGCCAGGAAGGAGCGCCATTCTCTTAGCGGGACTCTCAAGCCTATTTAGGGTTTGCTCATAGGCTATGTACTAGCCAGCCAGGGTTTTCTTCAAAAGTGCCAAGATTAATGAGAAAGACTGGAAGTTTGCAAAGCTGCTTTGTCATAGACCCAAAACTGGCAATTGCCACCTCATTAACTCATCCAGAAGGTAATTTTAAGGCCAGCCCAGATTCCAAAGTTTGAGGAAATAGATTCCGCTGTTTTTAACTGAAGGGTTCCTGGGCCATGCAGATGGTTAGCATGCTTAACTGCTAATCAAAAGGTTGAAAGTTTGAGTCCAGAAGAATCTAAACAGAAAGCCTTGACAGTTTGCTTTTGAAAGATCTGCTGTTGAGAGCCTGTGGTGCACAGTTCTACTTTGACATACTTGGGAGACGCTTCCCTGTTCCTTGTGGGAGAAACATCAGACACCTTATAATAAGGGATAGATGTAACCTGCTGCTGTCAAACTTGTCACAACTAATAGTGACACAGGATAGGACAGGATTCGGGTCTTTTGTTTACTTGGCTCCTAACAGCAGCAACCATAATGACCCGTGGCTGTAATTTTATTGAAAGAGGCTGCTTCTTGTTCCTCCCGTGAAGCAGGTGGTAGATTTGAACTGCCAACCTTTTGGTTAGTAGTCTAACACATTACGCACTATGTCACCTTAGTAGTAAGGCAATAGTAGTATTTGTCATCAAGTCAGAACATGCCCATAGCTGATAGGTGTAGAAGGGGTAAAAGTTGTGGGTGTTTTGGTTTTTGTTGGGTTTTATTTTGCGATCAGGCTACTGTATCATCTAATTAGTTTATCATGGCAAATAAGTATTTTTCATGGATTTGAGATGTAAACTTTTTCTTAAGTCAGATTTTCAAACACTTTGAACAGTGCAGAGCTTATTTATAAATATTTTCTTCTTATTCACTTCCTTGTTTATAATTGTGCAAAGCCTTTTTATTTGTCTTTAGCAGTGTTTTCTTATCTGACATAGGCACATTAAGTTATTCTGGGATTTTACTACATATTCTAATTGTTTTCATTCCTTCAGCACACAGTAATACATTTGTTTGTTTCTTTTAGAAACATTTGGGATGCTAGTTTAGTTGTGGAGAGAGTATTCAAGAGTGGCAACCGAGAGATCATTGCTGTAAGTTTTGTTTAAAATTACTTCATTGTTTTTATGTAGCCAATTAATTCTAGAACCTTTTTTTTTTTTTTAACTTCCTTTTAACCTAACTAAATTATATTAGGGAGCTGTAGTGAGAATTTTGCTGCTCATCCAAACACACTTGGAATCCATCAGCATTTTCACAGGAGAAAGATGGGCAGTCTCCTCCCATTCAGTGTCTAGCCTCCAAAAACTCCCCTGAAGAGTCAGCCATGAGTCAGTTCTGACCTGATGGCCATAAGTTTTCAGTTTTTTAGAAGTTTGTATTGTATTTTGTGATATTTCAAACAATATCACAAGATGATTGAAGACTATTGTTCTTCATTGTACTTGTTTGTGTAATTGTCCAGTATACTGAGATTAATGCTTAGATTTGTCACTCAACACATGATCTGACCCTGATTACATTTCAGAGCCTCATATGTCACTGTATAATGAGCTTAATAATAGATATATTTCTCATAATGTTGTTTCAGAGAATAAATATCATTAGTCCTGCTATGAAATGCTGCTCAAAGTTACTTTTTAATGCTTGGGGGTTTTGCATGAAAACTTGATGGCCTCAAGTATTATTCCGTGCTAAGAAAATATATCTCATAAATTCAGATAATAAGATTTTTCTTTAATCTGCAATATAAATAAAATTTATTTTAAGCCATTTTTTAAATTACTAAGTATTTTTATTCTTTATAAAAGAGTAACTGATGTTCTTTTAAAATTCATATTTCTAAGAATAAGAACATAGTCAACTAATAGATTATATGTTCATTTTATGAAGGTTAAGACCAGGAAAACTTGTCTTTAATGATAGATGTAAGAAAAATAGTTGCTTCTGAGATTAAATAACAACAAGAAAGGGACCTTACAGAACTCTCTCTGACAATGTAACATTCTATGTTTTGGTCTGCCTGGTGATTTTATATAAAGATAAAGCGTTATGAAGGTATTCAGTTGAGATTTGTGTATTTTACTGTATTTAGATTATGCTTTACTCAAAATGGAGGAGATTCATGTTGTCTCACCTTTTATTTAGTCACCAAGTGTGAATGAGTAGGATATATTATTACTTTTTTACAGAATTAGGGTGTATCTAAATTAAAACTCTTTGTTTATAGTGTATCTTTCTATGTAAACATTTTCAGATTTTTTAAACTTTTGAAAATTCTTCCTGTTTAAAAAGTTTAATTTTTAAAACTCACTCTGATAAAATATATACAACATGAGATTTTCCATTTTAACCATTTTTTAAAAATCTTTATTATTTGTGTGTGTGTGTGTGTGTGTGTACCATCAAATCAGATTTGACTGGTACAGGAGGAGATGGTTCCTCCTTCTCCAGCAAAGCATCTGGTGGATTTGAACCATACACCTCTGTGATTGTGGTGCAGGTTCTTGCCACTAGGCCACCAGAGCTCGCCATTTTTTAACCATTTTTAATTCCACCCTTGAGTGACAATAATTACATTTACAACATTTAATAACCATGATCAGTATTTGTTTCCAAAATTTTTTCTTCACCTCAAACAGAAACTCAGTACTATTTCTTCCTCCTTCCAGTACGTAGTGGTCACACATTTGCTTTTCTTTTGTCTCTGTGTTTACCTATTCTAGATATTTCATGTATGTAATGTGCTGTGGAGTCAGAATTGGCTCATAGCTAAACCTTCAGTAGGTTTTTTCAGAAGCAGTAAATTGGGCAGAACTTGATTGATTGGCCATCTGTCTCCTGAGAAGGTGGTGGATTTAAACCACTTAACTTTGGTTTTGAAGTGCAACTTCTTACCACCAGGCCACTAGACCTCACTGATATTTCATATAAGTGGAATTATATAATACTTGGTTTTGTATCTGTGACTCAGTTTCTCTTATACTATTTCTTCCTTTCTTTTAGATTGAAAGTAGTGTTCCTTCCCAGTTGCTGGAATCAGTGTTACAAGAACTAAAAGGTTTACAAGAATTTCTAGACAGAAACTCCCAGTTTGCAGGAGGGCCATTAGGAAATCCAAAGTAAGAATATATTTGGTTGCTTTTGTTACATTCTTCTTGGTTGTTATTTGCTTTTGATATATCGGCTGAATACCACAAAATTCATCCCAACAGAACACAATTTAGTGGGTCTTCGTATTTTCACAAGGTTCTGTTAACATCTCCTCATTCTTGTGGGCATTTTCATACCTGTTCCCATTAGCAGACACTCAACCTTCCCCAGCCCCTGACAACCACTGATCTAATTTCTGTTGGAATAGATTTGCCTCTTCTGAGTATTTGCTTTTAAGTGCAACAATACAGCAAGTAATAGCTGTCTGTTAAAAATGTATTCTTTATTGATGTTAAAAAGGAAGTACAGTGTTTGATCTTATGTCTGCTTGCTTGTTCATTAGCCTTCATTTTAAGTGTTTAGAAGTATATTAGATCGGAGGAGTTTTTCTTTTGCTTTTAAATAAGAGTGAACTGGGGGTGGGGATGGGGGTAGGGGGCCGGGGAGAAAAGTGCAACAATAAGTGAATGGAAATCCAAAATCTCTGTAAATGTTCATTGAAATGAATAAAAAAAAAAAGAATAAACATAAACTAGGAAGAAAAAAAAAGTGTATTAGATCTAAGTAAATATACTTTCGAGAGAGCTCTTTTAGAGTATTATCTCCTAAGAACAGTATACCAATTATTTCTTTTCAGCCTTTGGCACACTTCTTAACTTATATTTTAAAAAAGCATATAAACAGATTTTTGCTTCTCTTGTTTTAAATTAAGTTTTAGAGTCTTTTGTTTCTTTTCATGAAAGTTTAAACCATTCTCACTTTACTGAGATTATTCAAAGACTTAATCTTATTTTTACTGTATTCAATTTGTATTTTCTTGGGTTTTTCCCCCTATTCATGATTTTATTTTGATTTAATGAGTTACTTTTCTATCACTGATTTACAAGGCCTTTGTACAAGTTTTTTTCCTTTAGTGATTAGTTTTAAATTCTTTCGGTATGTGCATCACTCAGCATTAATAATTACAGTCTTTAATTTTTACTTCTTCCTCCTTTCTTTTTTTAAATCATGTAGAATTTTAGTTGCATGGTTTTTCTTTTCCCTAACATGTTTTCATACGCCAGTTCCAATTCATAATGACTGTAAAGGACAGAAGAAAATGGTCCCATAGGATTTTACAGGTTTCATTTTTTTAAAATAATAGCATTTTTTTAATATTTTAGGAGTGCACTGGTAACCTAGTGGTACAGTGGAGTTTACTATTTTATGAGAGCATTGGTAACCTAGTGGTACAGTGTTTAATGTTTAAAGAAAGTGCTTGTGACAAAGTGGTATGAGTTGCACTGAGAACCCAAAGGCAGGTAGTTTGAGTCTACCAGCTCCTCTGTGGGAGAAACATGGCCATTCTTCCCTCGTGCTGTTTAAAACCTATAAAAACCCACTGAAGGGCCAGCTATGAGTCGGTACCAACTAGACAGCACAAAACAACACCAGTAGGAAAGAAACTGTCCTGATAAATGGAGTTTTCTTACATTGCAGTATATGTATTTTGAACATGTAATCTTATTTGAGTGAAAACTTAACAAAGCTTTCCATTTAAGAATTTATACGTATTTTGTTTAGTAGTAGTAGTAGTTGCAATCCCCTCAATTTTTCCACTTCCCACTTTATCCTGGTTTCCTGTTTCCATTCATTTTTCCTGGCCCTTCATGCTTTCTGAAGTTTGCGTTTGACAAAAAGTGTTTTTTAAGCAACCATTTGATCTCGTATGGCTCACTGTTCTAAGGAGCGTATTTTTTTATTCCTTTTATAAATCTGTCTATTGTTTGTCTAAAAGGTGATCTCCAGAAGTAGGGTAAGTTCCAGTTTTGACAAGGTCCATTGTTGTTAGATGCTGTCAAGTCAACTGTGACTTGTAGAGACCCTTTGAACACAGCCCTATCCTGTGCGACCTCACCGTCTCTGATATACTTGAGCACTTTGTTACAATCTCTATGTTGGTTCATCCTGTTGAGGGCCTTTCATTTGCTGACTTTCCAGCTTTCCCAACATGATGTTCTTTTCCACTACTAACAACATGCCAACTTGACCACTAACAGCCTGAGCTCTCCTAACAGCATTCCCAAACAATGAGAACCAAAACTTTACTTAAAGAGCACTCTGTTTGCACTTTCTCCAAGCCATGTTTGTTTGTCCTTTGGGCAGTCCATAGGAAAGTCATTACTCTTCTCCAACATCACAACTCAAAAACTTTGATTCTTCTATTTTTATCCAACTTTCAAACAACAACAATTCAGTGAAAAGACTGGTGTGAATCAGGTACACCTTAAAACTAACGTTCTTGCTCTTTAGTACTTTGGAGAGGTCCCTGACAGCAGATTTGCCCAATGCAATACACTTCCTGAGCTCCTGACTGCTAGTACCACGCTTGCTCATTTTGTGGATCCAAGTAAGATGAAACTGTTGACAGATTCCATCTTTTCTTCATCTGTCATGACATTGCTTATTGACCCAATGGTGATTTCCAGTCTGTCAGCCAGTGAGTCTGGTGTTTGTGATAATTTTTGTTTTACTCTACTTTGTCTAGGACTGTCTGATTGGGACCCTATCCCCATTCCTCTTGGCTGTCACCTTTCCCTTTCCCCAAAATTTCTAGTTAGTGATTTTCCCTCCTGCCTCTTTCTATTCCTAATAGCCATCAAAGAAGGTTTCTTACTTGTATAAATCTTTTCTTGGTGTTTATAAATGTAGTCTCATATAATATTGTCTTTCTGTGATTGACTTACTTAGTTCCATGTCCTCTAGGTTCAACCATATTGTAAAATGTTTCCTGGATTCATTATTCTCTAGCAGTGCAGTATTCCATCCTTTGTGTGTATCATAGTGTGTTTGTCCATTTATACATAATACATTATACATTTATACATAACAACAAACAACAACAGATCCATTGCAATGAACATCTGAGAGGAAAAGATTTTAGTTTATTACCGTTGCTTTGCAAGTTATTATTTCAGTGGTCTACAAAGGAAAAAAATGTATTTCAAACCTCTTGTCCTTCTATATAAAATTTCTAGAATAACCAAATTTATAAAGAGAAAAATAGGTTGCTAATTCAGTTACGGCTGGGAACGGACAATTTACAACTGGGTGGAAGGTATGAAAATGTTTTCTGATACATGATTTCATGTTTGAATTGTGTAGTTTAAGTTGTATGTCAGTGAAGCTGTTTTTTAAGAGACATCTTGTGAAATTTCTGTTTCAGTACTACTGCAAAGGTGCAACAGAGGCTGATGGGGTTCATGCGTCCTGAAAATGGCAATTCCCAGCAGATGCAGCAAGAGCTGCAGAGGAAGTTTCATGGTAAATGACTGCTTCTCGGTACTTAATGCACGTGATGTACATGAATGGAAGAATTTCTTTTAGTTGAACACAAAACAATTGATTTCTTCGAAAACCTAGTTTGTTATGATAAATGTTTTTGTTAAAATGTTATCATTAGAAAAATGGAAGTGTGAATATTAAAAAATCATTCAAGATGGTGATAAATCAAACTTTCTTCTTTTTTATTTATTCCCATAACTATTTCATCTCATCAGGTTTTTTCTCCTTATTGCACAGAATTCCTCAACTTTTCCTTATTGTCAGTTTTTCTTCTAAATTCTTTTGTCTTCTGTTGTGTGACATATACTGGCTGGTAGGCCTTTCCTAATTAAAACCAGTCATATAGCACTGCAATCCCAGAGATATGTGGTTCGAATCCACCAGATACTCTGCTGGAGAAGGAGGGGCAATCTCCTCCTGTACTAATCAGATTCAATTTGACGGTACACACACACACACACATATAAAATAAATATATAAAGCCAGTCATGTGCTTTTCATTCAGGCTAATCTCTTCCCTTTCTACTAGCTCTGGTTACCTTTCCACCATTTTTAACTTTTTCCTCCACCTCAGAACTTGAGGGAGTTCTGGTGGCCTAATGCGTATAAAGTTGTACTGGCAACCCAGTGGTTCGAATGTCCCAGCTCTTTCTTATGAACAGTTTCCTCCTGTGTGATTTACAACCTCTGAAAAACTGCTGGAGAGTCAGCTCTACCTTGGTTCTGATTCAGCAGCAATGAGAGGATGCTAATTAATACTTCCATTGGCAGTGGTGTTAGGAGTGTGCCATCAAGTGGACTATGACTCATAGCGACCCTATGAACGACAGATCTCACGGAATGCTGTCCTATCCTGTGCCATCCTCATCATCCCTGACACAGTTGAACTCATTGCTCTAGTCCCATTGTCAGTCCATCTGCTTGAGAGTCTTCCTCTCATCGTCAGCCCATCACTGCCTCTGCCAACAGCATACCGAAAGTGTACTAGACAAAACTTTTGTCATCCTTGCCCCCAAGGAGCACTCTGGCTTCACCTTCTCTAAGACATGTACTTCAGTAAGGTCTTTGAATCCTGACAATTCCAGGTGCTAGTGAGAATTTCTGTAAAGGTGTATGTATGAATTATTGGTTGTTTTTTGTGTGCTTTTGAGTCAGAACCTACCCATAGCTGACCCTCAAGCGGGTATTCAGAAATAATAAGTCACATGAGAGGAGATTGCCCATTAATTTTACAACTCATGGTAATGATATTTGATATCTCCCCTTCTTTAGTGATAGTCTGCAGAGCATCCCATTATTGAGTTGCCTTCCCTTTATCCGTCTTATATATGTGCCTGTTATCTGTTTACTAATTTTTATTCACTTCTGCCTTCCTTCTTATCCCTGATAATTATTCAGAAAACTATTTAGTCTGTGAGTTCAACCATTCCTTAGAAAAGTAAGTTGCTTTTGTAAAACAAGCTGTAAATTGTTAGGAAGAGCAATATTTTTAGTATTTATCTGAACACAAAATAAATTCTTAAAAATACAAACATGAATACATCAGCTGTCAGCATGGTCATCTAGGGTGGAGAGACAGTAGAGAAGGAAAAGGGAATTGTATAGGATTTTGTTTTTATTGACATAATTTTTTAAAACATTAAGAACAATTAAAATATAATTTTTTTGTCATTAGAAGCGCAACTGAGTGAAAAAATTTCACTTCAAGGAATTCAGCAACTGGTTCGAAAATCATACCAGGCTCTGGCTTTATGGAAACTTCTGTGTGAACATCAATTCACTGTCATTGTAGGAGAACTTCAGAAGGTAGGAATTCTTTTTTAAAAAAAATTTACTGATACACTTTTTCTTCTCTGCTTGTTTACACTGGAGTTGATGAGGGAGTTCTTTTGGTAAGCATTTAGGCTGTGATGATCATGTTATAGGTTGATTGCACAAAAATGTGGTAACTTGAGAAACCTGATTTCAGAGCTACAAGTTTGTACAGTAAATGAGAAATTTATGTTGGTATGCAAATTAATGTGTACACTATTAGGCATTTCTAAAAGAGTCAGTTGTAACCTTTGTTTGAGCCACAGATCCCTTTGTGGTCACGTGAAAATTTTCTAGGAAACTCTAGTGGCTTAGTGAAGACTGAACTGCACTGACAACACAAATGTATGAAGTTCAAATCCACCATACCTGGGAGAAAGATGGACAGTCTCCTCTCATGCCATATATTGCCTCTGAAAGTCCACCAGAGAGGGTCAGCTATGGGTTGTTCTAACTCAACTGTACTCAACAGTAACAAGTACTGAATATTTTTTTAATAATTTTTCTTAATTTTAATGAAAGTTTACAGAGACTAAGGGTTTCCATTCATTAATTTTTGCACTTTTCTCCCTGCCCACCCCATCCCCCCCCCAATTCTCTCTTCTCTTTAACGAGTAAAAGAAAAATTCTTTCATTGTTATACAGTCCCTCTCCCCAAGTCCACTCCACTGTGCAGCCTTCATTCTGGACTCCTGTCATGACAATATTACTCAATCATATATCCCTTTTAAACAGTTCTCTCCCTCATCTGTTTCATTGTACATAATTTATCCCATCTTTCTCAGTCTCCCCCCAGCCCCGATGTTGGTCCCATTTTACAACAGTGGGAGTATGCAGTATTTGTCCTTTTGTGACTGAGATATTTCACTCTACATAATGTCCTCCAGGGTCGCCCATTTTGATAATATTTTATGAGTTCCTTGTTTTTCAATGCAGCATAGTATTCCATTGTGTGAATATACCAGCGCTTCTCTATCCATTCATTTGTTGATGGGCATTTAGGTTATTTCCAACTCTTTGCTTTTGTCAGCAAAGCCTTGATAAACATGGGTGTGTATAAACAGTGATTTTCTTTTTTTAAAAAAAGAACAGTGATTTTCTAAATCCAATTCCTTCACCATTTATTAGCTGCAGTTCTGTGAAAAACAACTTTCCCTTACCAACTAGGATTATTTGGTTACCCTGAAATGCTTAATTCATTACTATTAAGTTCAGAATTAGTAGTAGTAAATCCTCAGCCCTCCTTTTCTATTAGACATAGGAGTAGTTTTTCTTCATGTCAATGAGTAATGATTTTTTGTTTTATTGGATAAGAAATGTGAGTTTATTTTTAGACATCTTGTAAGCATCCTTTCTTATATAAGTGAAAGGAGTGAAAAATAAAGATAAGCCCAAATATATAAACACTGATTGGATATTTGCTGAAATTTAGGTAGAATGGCATGATAGTGTAATAATTTACTTTGTTCTTTTGGCAGTCCATATTCCTTGTTTATTGAGAGGCATGGACTCTTCTGTTCTCTTTATTCATTGTTCAGTGTATCTTTCACGTGTATCTGAAGCAATGGAAATTACCTCAGCATGTGTTAGGCATGTCTTGGTATTTAAACCAAGATCCCTCCTCTTTAATACCATAAAGAGGAGTTCTTTGGCATCATATTTTCCCATGACATTTGATTCCTTAGCTGCTCTTTCTATGAATGTTGATTGTGGATGCTCGAGTTAATTTGTTATCGGCTCTCTCCCCTGCTTAGTTTCCCTGTGATTTTAATATACTTTCTGTTAGTTGTTGTTTTGTGCCATTCAGTCAGAACTGACTCATGGCTGCGCCTCCAGTGGGTTTTGAGAGGCTATAAATTGAATGGGAAGAGGTTGTCCATCTTTTCTCCTGCAGAGCATCTGGTGGATTCCAACTCTGTGTCTTCATGTTGGTAGAATAACTTGATAGCGACTAGGCCACCATAGCACAGGATAGGATACAGTTCACATCTCTTGTTCAAATGGTAGCTATGAGTCATACTTCATTCAACCAGTACTTAACAACAACAGTAAAATTAAATCTGTGACAACTTTTCTTTTCTTCTTTTATCATGATATTATTCATTGATCAAGTTGTAAAGTTTTTTGTTTTAATTTGTAGGCTAAGTTATTAAAGATAGTTCGTTCTATGTAAATGTAATGTTATTTTTTTCTTTTATAATGAATTTTTTTCTCTCCCTCACATTCCTAGGAATTCCAGGAGCAGTTGAAGATCACCACCTTCAAAGATCTGGTAATCAGGGACAAAGAACTGACAGGAGCATTAATTGCTTCTCTTATTAACTGCTACATCAGAGATAATGCTGCTGTTGATGGTATTAGTTTACATTTACAAGATATCTGCCCTCTTCTATATAGCACGGATGATGCAATTTGTTCTAAGGTATGGTATTATTGATTTAAATGATCTTACAGAAATTATCTCCGTATGATGAAAGGAATGTAGAATGAGGATGAGGAACCTCATTCTTTTACTTAATGTATGACACTAGGTGGGTCTCTTTACCCTCTTGACATTAGATTCTTCATGATCTCTTAAAATGCATGTGTACCCTTGCGTTTTTCATAATTGTAAATTAAGATCATGAACTTTTACAGTGTTTCTAATTAAAAGAAAAGGATTAATCTTATCTTAGCAACTAAAGGGGGAAAGGTCACTAAAACTTCAAATATGTAATGGATTAGACTTAATGGGGCAATTTTTATTGATCCTTTCCTACAGGTGGAAAAATTAAAAAATCATGGACTGTCTGCCGACCCATAATGTATTGACTAGGCAAGAGATTTACCAGACAAAACATGTCTTGCTTAACATATATGTGAGAGGAATTAAGAATAGCTAGGAATTTTTGGTCAAAAACTTTTCTGCCTAAAATTAAGAAGAAGTAAGTTTGTAGAGTTGTTCTTATTTTTTAATGGTAATAACTCACATATAAATTTAGACATAGAATAAAAATAATGTTGACAGTATTGTCTGTCTGCTCTTAATATTTTTTTTAAACTCTTTTCTACTGCTAGGCAAATGAACTGCTTCAACGTTCCCGACAAGTTCAAAATAAAATTGAAAAGGAAAGAATGTTAAGAGAATCATTAAAGGAGTATCAGAAAATCAGCAATCAAGTGGACCTTTCTAATGTTTGTGCTCAGTATAGACAAGGTAAGAAGATTCTATCTTTTTAATGCAAAGGACAAATGACACCATCTTAAAAATTATTTATATCAACTGAGACATATTATAGACGAAAGAAATGTTAATGTGAGTATAATATTTAAGTGAAGATTTCTCCCTCCTTACAGAGGAGTGATTTTAAGTATAAAAATGTTTTCTTATGAAGAAAGTATTTAGTAGTTGACTTTTTTGTATGTTTGAACCAGCTACTTTAGCACAGTCATTAGAAGTATTTTAGGTATTAATGATACTAGAATGACTTATGTATAGTAGAGGAATAGTAGCCTCAACCAGTGCTTTTACATGCAGGGTAAGGAACGCTGCATCCGGCTTGGTGGTAAACGGTAAATTCTTGCTTTTCTTTCCCGTTAGTGCGTTTTTATGAGGGTGTGGTGGAGCTGTCTCTCACTGCTGCTGAGAAAAAAGATCCTCAGGGGCTTGGACTTCATTTCTATAAGCATGGAGAGCCAGAAGAAGACCTGGTGGGACTTCAGGCTTTCCAAGAAAGGTACATTTTATTACTTTAGCACGTCATTAGTTTTCTAAAAAATTATTCTAATTAATAATTTTGCTTGTTTTTAAATATTCAGCATTTTATGTAAAAAAGGAAAAGGGGGGGGAACCCCATCACAATCATGAATAATGTTTCTATTAGAGGCCCTCTTGATTCTCCACAACAAAACTGAGTATGTTCACAAAGGGTTCCCATTAGTTCAGTCTTAAACAACTGTCTTTTACTTAAGAAAGAAAAAAAAAAATTTAAAAAACTCCAAACATTCCACACTACCACTTAACTTATTTTAATGGATTCCCCCACCCCACCCCCAATTGTAAAAAATAATGAAGTACAGGCAAGGGATAATCACAGTATTGTGGTCAGCATTATAAATACGGAATTAGACATTTAATCCAGTTTTTCTGGTTTAAAGGATAAAACTGCCTAGCCATGTACAGCTACTGAGTGCTTGAAATGTGGCTAGGCCAAATCAGGATATGATTAATCATAAACACGCACATAGCATTTTGAAGACTTAGTACAATAAAAGAATGTAAAATAATAAAAACACCAAAACTGGTGGTCTATGCCCTCTGGGGGTCTCATCTAAAAGAGCTGGTCTGTGTGTTTCTAGCAGTGCTCACCTTTATCCATTTTCCTGGGCCGTTCATGTGTGCATCTTTGTCCTCCCATCTGTTCAATCAAAGTCCTGGTGGGCCCTCAGGACTTTGGTCTTCCTTCCCTAGGTCTTCCTTCACCAGAGCCACCTCCATCCCCCAGCCACCACAGAAGCTACCTCTGTCGCCACCAGGGCCACCTCTGCCATGGTTACCACCTGGGAGTGGGAAGGGTGGCAGGAGGACACCTTCAGGCTTGGGGACCTTACACTGGTTGCACTTGGTTCACTAGGTGAAGGTCTGGTTTCCACAACCTGAATTCAGGCACTGCCAGTCTCCAGCTCAGTGTTGGACATTTCCTCCTCCAGATAGGTTCACTTGGGATTCCTGGGGTCTTTGTGAGGCAAAGCCTACTCTGTCTACTCCACATAAGATCCATGGGTCCCGCAAGACCTCCTGGGTCCCCTGAACCTCTACAGAGAAGCGGCAGCATACCCCTGGCCTCACTGGGTGATATTCCACCTTGAGGGCTGTTCATGGGAAGCTTTTTCTGAGCTAAAGAGACAAAGCTTGCTCCCTTGGCAGTCAGGGTCTTCTTAGGGCATTAGCATCACCTTTGGGCTTCTCCATATCCTTGTTTAGATAGGTATGGATCATGGGTTGCCCAGTTCTCTTGTTCATCTTAACAACCCCACACTACTTAAATAAATTTTTCAGATAATCTAAAGTCACACTGTCATTTAATCCTCGCACATAAATCGTACTGTTGTCAGAGTCTTCATCTGGATCCACAAGGGGGCCTATACCAAGAGCTGGTCCTTCATCCATGGCTCCACCACGCTTAACTGAAGCCACTTCGCTCTGCAGCACCTGTTCCACCATGACCTCCTCTGCGCCCACCTCTACTCATGCCTCCACGATCGCATTTCCCTCTTCCCTTTCCCAGGTTATCAGAGCCACTCATTCTCTCCTGATCCTGAAAATCCTTCAGTCTCCTGTCCTTCAACACCCATGCTACTGGGGTGGTCCTGTTGAAATGAACACTGCTTGTGGCTGCTGCTCTTTTGGCTATATTGACTTGGAGCCTGGCAGTAGGATCCAGTTTGGGAAATGGGGGTTGGTGGTAACTAGTGAATATCTTCTGCCCATAGCTACTCTCCTGCCTGTAGCTGCTTGGCTGTCCATAGGTGGTGTGCTGAGAGGAACTACTCTGATCGTAGTTAGTTGGTTGTGAAGAGGAATAACTGGTAGGAGGGAGATGCGCTGACTGGCTGTGTGGGATACCTGCCAAGAACCTGGGAATAGCTATAGGTATTCTGTCCATATGCCATGCTGGGCTGGTTGTCACCTCCTGTGCTAGATTGAGGCTGGCTGGTCTCAGTGGGCTTGCTACCCTCTTGTGATCTTGTAGGATGGATAGGCAGGTGGAGTATGCTCTATAAATTGGGCTGCATAGGAGGCCTGGGAGGTGGTCACTGTAGCATTTGTTATATAAGCACCAGTGCTGTACCCCTGGACTGGCTGGCCGGATGCCTGGGCAGCAGTTGGAGTATTGTATGCAGTAGGAGGCTGTCAGAAGAAGTTGCATAGGCAGTCTGCTTATCAGTTCCATAACTTTGTTGCCCATATGCCTACGTGGTCTGTGCATATCTTTGAGTGGCTGGACAGTGTGGCAGTAATCGTCACAAATAGTATAGTTACAGAATGAAAAAAAATGCTCAAAAAACAAATCTTTTTCTTTTTATGTGTTAATTCACTCCCTTATGGCCTTGTCCTTTTGTATTTATAACGAAACTCTTCTCAAAGTCTCTCATTCATTCTGAAAGCATAAGCATTTTCTGGTTTGTGTTTTATTATTTTATTTTTTTACTGTGTTTTGAGTGAAAGTTTACAAAACAAATTTATCTTTTTTTCAACTTACTGTCCATGCACCTTTTGTTTTATAACATGTATGAATTATAAAACCTACCATGTCACCACACTCTTTGCACTTCTTTCCCCAAAGAAGTGAACTCTTGATTCCCTAAATTTTTCTGTCCTATCCCTTTCTGCATCCTGAACTCTATCTCTGGGTAGATACTCCTTTTGCTCTTATGTTGGCATTATTCTAGGGGGTGAGTGCTTCCCTGATGTTACTGTTCACCTTACTGGCTTGTCCATTGTTCAAATGAAAGTTAAGCTGCATGGTGAGTTTTAGTCCATGTTCAAAGGGTGAGTGAGGGCAAGAGGCTCCGCAGTACAATTGGTTTCTCTTGGATCAGTGAGCCCAGCCATTATTTGTGTTTTGTGTTTTGTTCTGCATTTTTGGAACTCTTATGTGGGATCTTCTGTGATCTCTTTTAGCGTTACATTATTTTAAAACCCCAAAACATGTATATTCTTCATAATAGTCTACAGAGTTTTATTATGTATTTAAATTTGATAGGAAAATAAATTATCAGATTAATGTAATTCTTTTTTCCACTCTTTTTCAGATTAAATAGTTATAAGTGCATTACAGACACACTGCAAGAACTGGTAAATCAAAGTAAGGCTGCTCCTCAGTCTCCCAGTGTACCCAAAAAACCTGGTCCTCCAGTGTTGTCATCTGACCCCAATATGTTGAGTAATGAAGAAGCAGGTCATCATGTAAGGAACCTAACACTATGTTTCTTTGTGTTAGTGGCCATAGTTCTCAGACGTTCCCACTGAGGATTATTGACTTCTTAGGAGGGGTTTATGAACCTAAGGGGCAATAATTGCCAGCATCAGAGCCTTCATGCTGACTTTCATCTTTTTTCCACTTTAGTTTGAACAAATGCTTAAATTGGCCCAGCGATCCAAAGATGAACTGTTTAGTGTTGCCCTTTATAACTGGCTGATACAAGCTGACCTTGCAGATAAGCTACTACAGGTAAGAAATTCTTTGTTCACCCTAGAAATGGTGTTTAGATTGTATATCATCAGTAGCATCATGTAATGAGTTAATTGCACTTACAGTTCAAGGGAATTCAGTGTCTTATCCTGTCCCTACAATTAGGTAGATATTCATGTAAAGCCAGTTAATTTGCCATCTTCCTGGTGAGGAAGATTCTATTTAGAAGTTGTTTTGTCGGGTGGGAGTCACTGTTTTTTATTAATTAGAAAGACTGATGTCTGTCTTTGCTATGTCAGCAAATCTCTTTAAGACTTTAGACATGTCATTTTACTATATTAAATCTCGGGTCTCTTGACTGAATACATAACATGTAATCATTTTGGTTATCTCATTAACGTCAGAATCTAGGGATCAATAGCTGTATTACCCAACTTTTTAAAAAGATTTTTTTATGTGAGCTCTTGTGGCCTAGTGGCAAAAAGCTGCACTGCAATCCTAGAGGTGCTCAGTTCAAATCCGCCAGATGCTCTGCTGAAGAAGGAGGGACAATCTCTTCCTGTCAGATCTGATTTGATGGTACACACTTTAAAAAATAATAATAATAAAATATTTTTTACTTATAATTTTTAATAAAACATGGCACATTGTATTTGTCTTTTTAAAACAAAAACATTTTATTTACTAAGTAAGAAGCAAGTAGGTGGTTAAAAACATTTCTGAATAAATGTATAATTTCCAGATTGCTTCTCCATTTCTGGAGCCTCATCTGGTCCGAATGACAAAGATTGATCAAAACAAAGTTCGTTATATGGACTTACTCTGGAGGTATTATGAGAAGAACAGAAGTTTTAGTAATGCTGCTCGTGTCTTGTCAAGGCTGGCTGATATGCATAGGTATGGAAAATTGTAATATTCTCAGAAGAAGAATTGCTAGCTGAATCTAGCTATATCCGCTTTAGGTTGCTGAGTTGCAAGCCGTCTTAGCTGGACCATGATTGTCAAACCTTGTTTTCTCTGTCCCTTTGCCTCTTTCACTCAAACCTCTAAATAAAATTCTTTGATCTCAAAAAATATTTTATGCAAACCAATATAAAATTTAAAAATTAAAACTATTCAGGCATGCATCTATGGAATTTGTTGATGCTTTTATCACAGTTTACAATTTTCTTTTTAATAATGGTTTGAAATGTATTTAAAACATATTTTTAGAGTATCTCCATTCAGATCATCTTCTCAATTGCTTTTTTTTTTAAAAAAAAAAAGGTTATATTGGTTTGCTCACAAAGTTTATATACATTGTGTTTCACACTGTTCTTCATACTGTGTTTCATACAATCATTCCCATGCATTGTTGTGTACTATCAAGTCTGAACCACCTCATAGCTGAACCCTCTGGTGTCTTTTCAGAGGCAGTTAATTGCATGGTGAGTAGATTGCCCATCCTTCTATCTCATTGTTTTTCCCATTTATTATGTTTTATAAAATCAATCACCATTGGACCTTGCCTATCACAACCTATCTTTTCAGGCTCTTGCTGGATCCTTCCCATTTCCTTTACCTCCTCCTTCTACCCACCAAACTGTACAACTCTGGTTTCACTCCTACCCATCCTCACCCCTCTACTGCCACCTTATTTCCCCTTTAGGTCCCCCATACATGTTTTACTAGTTATATTTCTATTTTTACAGTAATGGTCTTATGTAGTGTTTGTTCTTAGGTGACTGAGTTAGTTTATTCAGCATAATGCTCCCCATTCTCTCCCAAGTTGTGTAGTATTTTTCGAAACTGCTTCTGAGTGCTGCATAGTATTCCATTGTGTGAATGTACTATGGTTTCTCATTCTAATCTCTTATTTTAAACAAATAGCAGTTAGTAGTCGTAATTAAAAACAGGCTGCTTCTTGAGATCTATTAATTACAAAGTAATTTATTTCTTCTTTAGGGAGCGCTGGTCCATTGCTAACTCAAAGGCATAGCCTCTCTTGACTATGTGTGATGATTGTCTTAATTTAGATCTTTGGCATCTTATTTCTCTATTATTTTTGTCATTCGCCTCCTGGTTATAATTCTGTCTTCCTTTCATATATATCTTTGTAAACCATTTTTACAAGATTATTCAGGCATAAAATATTAGAGTATCTCTTGTGTGCCTATCATTTCTTATATAAATCTCTTCCTTTAATATTTATTTACTTTTTTCTTGTTTTAATACTTATTTTGTTCTTTTTAATAAAATGTTCAAAACTTCTTTCCCTTTTTCAGTTGCTTAAGTTCATTTCACAGACAACTTGATTTCCTCATATTTTCCATCTCCCTTGAGGTAGCTCTGTCCATATTTAGCTCTTAGCTTGTGTTCTTTTGTCAAATAAATTGCTTCTCCAGCTATTGCTTGCTTTCTCATTATTCTTTCTGTTTATATACATATGTATATGGACTGCACCAAATGAATTGACAAGCCGTCGAATGTTAAATTTTAAATAATTGCGCTTGTTTATTTTTAAAACTAGTAGTTAAAAACAAAGAAACAAAAAAACCCACGGTTCATGTTATTGTTGTTGTTTGGCACCATCAAATCAGGTACAACTTAAAACACCCTATGAATAACAGATTTGAACCCTGTTTTGTCCTGTGCCATCCTCTGTTATCTTTTACTCACTAGAGCCCCTTAACAGCAGTCACTGTGTCAATCCATCTGGTTGATGGTCTTGTTCTCTCTCACCAACCCTCCACCTTCCAAGTATGATGTCCTTCTCCAAAGAATAGTAGAGGTTTTTCAATTTCAACCTTTTTAGAAGTAGGGCTCCTAAATGTATAGACAGCACTCTGTGGTGAGTTTCACTGCAAACCAAAGACAGCGTCTCTCTGGCAGTGTGAACCCACCAGTGGCTCAGAAGTCTCCTCTAAGACAATTTATAGCCACTTCAAAACCAGCTGTAGAGTCACTTCAACTTGACAGCAGTGAGGTTTTTTGTTTTTAAATGTACAGTATTTTACATAAAATTTTTATAGTTGGCTAGTGCCTGTTAACTCATACTTCGGTGCTTTAAGAGAGCAAAAAGAGGGAGAAGAGTTGCTTTTCTTTTTGTTCTTTGAAGGGGGGAGGGAATATAGGAGCTCTATCTCTTCATCAACAAAAACCCAACTCATTGCCATCAGATCAGCACCAATTCCTAGCTGACCCTCCAGTGGGTTTCCAAGGGCTATAAATAGAGAACATTGCCCTTCTTTCTCTCATGGAACAGTATCAATGATCTAAGTCTGACAAAAGTGGGAGATTGGGAGGGTGTGAATGGAGCAACTCTCGAGGTAGATATGCTCTAGGACCTCTCTGTCAGTCAGGCAGGAGAAATATTTTGAGCATTTATTGTGTCCAGAACCCGTGATAAGCAGCAGTCAGCATTATAGATAGCATTTCTGCTTCCAAAAGAGGCACTTTCTAGTAAATGGACACTGAAAGTAAACTCAGATTATTTCAGATTCTGTGATAGAAAGTACCTACAAAGGTGATGTGTTGCCTCAGTTAGGAGGGGTCCAAGAACATGTTCTTCTGAGACTTGACAAGAAAGTGGGCAGCTTTGTAAGGAGCTAGAAAAAGTGTTTATTGCATACAGAATAGTGTTAGCAGAGGATCTCTCTTACAAGAATGCTTTCTGACCACAATTTGCCTGAGAAAAGTCGTAAATGATAAATAATGAACTAGTTTAAAAGTCCCTTAAATATCATATTTAAGATAGAGCCCATGTCTTACTGCAAGCATCTTGGGGATCTTGTTGTTGCTATGTACCATTGAGTTGAGGTTGACCCTTAGCTGACAGTCATGGATTTTCAGAGGCAGTAAATCACATAGGAGGAGACTGACCATTTTTCTCCTGTGGAGAATCCTCTGGTGGTTTCTAATTGCATACCTTTGTGTTGGCAGCACAGTTCTTCCCATTAAGCCACCAGAGCTCCTAGGATTATCCTAAAGATATTAAATAATAGTTTAAATTTAAGATAGTTAATACTCTTAAGGAACCTACTAATTGGACTTTTTCATGGTGTTTGGGGGGGGGTTTAAATTTTTCAAGGGTTTTATTTGTAATTTTTTTATTTTAATACTTTTAATGAACATTTACAGAGATTTTGGATTTCTGTTCATTCATTGCTTGTTCATTCATTGCTTCTGTTCATTCATTCACTTCTTCCACCCCCAGTTCACTCCTCTCTTTGAAAAGTAAAAGAAAAACTCCCTCCCTGGTACACAATCCCCCCCATACCCCTCCCACCACCACAAGTACATTCTACTATGCAACCTCAATTGTGGACTCTTGTGATAACCATAATACCCTATCATACATCGCTTTTAAATTACTCTCTCCCTCATCTGTTTCAGTGCAGTATACACAATTTATCCAGTTTTTCTCAGTCTTACCCCAACCCTGATACCAATCCCATTTTACAGCAGTGGCATCATGCAGTATTTGTCCTTTTGCGACTGAGATATTTCACTCAGCGTAATGTCCTCCAGGCTCACCCATTTTCAATAATATTGCATGAGTTCCTTGTTTTGCAATGCAGCGTAGTATTCCATTGTGTGAATATACCACAGCTTCTCTATCCATTCGTTTGTTGATGGGTGCCTGGGTTGTTTCCACCTCCTTGCTATTGTGAGTAAAGCCGTGATAAACATGGGTGTGCATACAGATTTTTCAAGTTTTAAGTGGACTTTTTGCTTGTTCCTTACGATTTTATATCACTAAAAAATAAGATATTTCTCTCCCAATAGCACAGAAATTTCACTTCAGCAGCGCCTAGAATACATTGCTCGAGCTATTCTTAGTGCCAAAAGTTCCACTGCCATTTCATCAATAGCTGCAGATGGTGAATTCCTTCATGAATTGGAAGAAAAAATGGAAGTAAGTGCTAACGACACTTAAACTATACCCACATTGAATCCACATAATTACTGTCTTTTCCTTTCACTCTTTGTCAAACAGTAGGTTGCTAGAGGTTATCATTAATTTCAGTTTTGCGTGTCTTTATTTCTTACTTAAACAGTATAACTTTTTAAAAAAAAATAAGGATATAAGCACTTGGGTCATAAAGATATTGCTTCAATTTAATGTGACATTTCTATGAGTTTATTCTAACAGTTCCAACACCAAATTAACAGTGTCACACTTTTTATTCTGTACATTAACCATATTGTTTAGGATCTACTAAACTGCCTTTAAGTTAGAGATCCCCAAAATATATGATGGTTCAAATACATTTACAAGAACAGTATTATCAGCTGGGTTTTATCCATGAGGTTGATTAGGGACCCTTTTCTAGCTCTACCATTTCCTAGAACCTTATCTTTATTTCATTTAGACAAAGGAAGTGCGGGAAAGATTTTCAGAAGTATACTTAAAATATTTTTGAAATACTCAAAATATTAAAAATTTTGCTGCTGAGCAAAAGGTCAGCATTTTCAATTCACCAGAGACTCCACATGATAACAGCCCTTGTGATCTGTTGTATCAAGATTAGGGTAGAAAACCGATGAGGCAGTTCTGTTCTGTCCTGTAGAATCTGTCACTGTGAGTTATGGTCAGAAAAATCACTGTCCACCTCCTTGCACCTTCCACTGGATAAAATGTAGTCCTGTGGCTGTACTGTCTTGAAAGGGATGCTGGGAAAGAGCATAGTAGATGTATGACTATAGTCGTGGGGGGAATGGATATTGATAAGCAGTGAGTTCTGCCACGGTGTGTGTCCTGTGAAATCTGTTATGTTATAATGAAAGTTTGCTGCTTTATTATGAGAAGAGTTTTCTACGTTGTCTTGATTTTGAGAAACTTAGATACTAGATGTTGTTCTTTCAAGGAGTGATTGATTTATCATAAACAAATCAAAACGTCTTTTTTTCCCTGTCCCAACTAGGTTGCTAGGATCCAGCTTCAGATACAAGAGACACTACAAAGGCAGTGTTCCCATCATTCTTCTGTGCAGGATGCAGTTTCTCGGTTGGATTCTGAGCTAATGGATATAACTAAGGTAATAAAAACCAGTGAACATCCTGTTCCAGGCACATAGTCTTGTAATAGTTTTTTACTTTTTATTTCATGAAAAAGATTAATCTGATGCCGTAAAATAAGTCCTTTTTGGTGGAATGCCCTAGCTGCAGCTCACTTCTGGAAAAGGTGAGGCTGCTCTCTTTGAGCTCAGCCTCACTGAGGTTGTTCAGACCCCTACTTACTGATTTATGACCTGGTTCTTTGAAACAGTCACTTGCACTTGCATTCACACCTGTGTTACTGTCTGGCATTTCTGAGCAGTTTTTCCTCTTTTGGTGTTCTTGAATCTGGCTCTAAGTAACTGAAAGACCTGAGATTTCCAGTATTTTCATGATTTTCAAACTTTTCTTAGAACACTAATTCTGAAAGAAACAGTGTTGCAGCATCACCCACCACAAACCGGACAGATGCTCCTTCAGCATCTCTTTCTATTCTGTTTCGGCATAGATGTGTGGATGACTTGAGGAGCAGGGAGTCTTGAGGACCCCTGGCATGTTGACATGGCTTCATGTTTGGGATAGGGCTGAATGAAGGGACCTGTTAGTCTGGACACAGGGAGAGTGTGAACTCCTGAATTTGTGACTGATGCTTGTTTGAACCTAGCCACAGTCACCTGGTGATGAGTTGATCGTAACCCAGATAGGTGAAGAGAAGATGATCTGTTCCATGAACTAGGCTTGCTGCACCCTGATGGCTCACTCTGGTCTTGACTTAGCTTATTGATGCAGATGCTCAGAGGTTCCAAGTTGATATGCTTCCCTCAAAGTCTGATTTGATAGGGATGTGAAAACCGGAAATGGGCAAGCTACACTGGGGATATTAAGGCACAAGGCATGAAATAGCTGGCTTCCACACTTACACAAATGTAGTTATTAGTGAGGGGGGGAACCCCACAAATTATATGAATGAAAAATCATGAAATGAAAGATTGTGTAAAACACAATGTATATGTATGAAACACAATGTATAATGAATGATAAAAATGCTCATTAAAACAAATGCATGCACACCCACTCAACTTTATTTGAATGTGTTTTGCTATGCATTTGCCATTTTTAATAAAGAATTATTATCAGCTACAAATTACCCTCTCTATTTCCTATTTCAGAAACTTAATATTAGAACTATTGTAGTTTTTAGCTAAAGCACACTACAGTTTGAAGTTCTGAATACTGACCTCTGAGTGGATGTTTAATTTTGAGATTTTTCTCCCACAGCTTTATGGGGAGTTTGCTGACCCATTTAAACTTGCAGAGTGTAAGCTTGCAGTAATTCATTGTGCTGGTTATTCAGACCCTATATTGGTACAGACACTTTGGCAAGATATCATAGAGAGGGGTAAGTATTCAGTTGTAAGTATGCGTTCTTCAGTGATTTTTTTAAAGAGATAACAAACTGCTTTTCGCTCATATTTCAGACTCAGGAGAATTGTATATACCTATATAGAAGGTTTGGAAGGAGGAGTGGCATCCACTTCCATAACTGCTGGCTTCCGGAAACCCTGTGAACCTGGAGAGAGGATGAAAGGCACTCAGGCGTCGAGGACTCTCCTTCATAGGGTTGCTATGAGTCGCCTGCGACTCGACAGCACTTAACAACAACAATATAGAGGGTTATGGGTGCATAGTGATCCCGGTAGATATTTGGAAGAGCTCTTTGCAGGTTAATAAGGAATATTGAGGCATTTACCTCGGAATTTCATAACCGCTGTCTTGATACAATGAGAATCTATCATTTAACAGAAACTCAAAATATGCTCACTATATTCATGGGAAAACTTAACACTAGATACTTTAAACCCTTTAACAATGAAATTACCAATTTAAACACTATATTTTGAAAATCTTTTGTACTACTAATGACAAGTCAGATAACCCTTGGTGGCTGACCAGGAAAGCTGCTAGGAGTCCTCTGGCTCAACATTCAAACCCATCATCCCCTCACAGGAGACAGATGTGTCTCAGTCTGCTTCCTGAAAGAGTACAGCCTTGAGTATGGCAGAGTGTAGAAAAGTACAAGCAGAAAAATATATGGTCTCGTCAGTGTTATAAACTGTAATATGTGCTGAATGGAAAACCAATTTATTCTATTCTGTATTATTCAGTCAAATCACAATAAAAATTTAATTTAAAAGACCAGTCAAATTTAAAGATAATGTGAACAAAATACTGCTTAGATCTGCAGCCTTGGAGAGCCCGTGGGACAGCTGTGCTGTGTTCTGTAGGGTGACAGTGAGATAAAAATGGTGTGCTGGCCCTGGTTTTATAGGTCTGGTTTAATGACAGGTCTCTTTCTCTCTCTCTCTCTTTTTTTTTTTAACAGAACTTAGTGATAGTGTGACAATGAGCTCCCCAGATAGAATGCATGCTCTTAGTCTCAAGATTGTGCTCCTTGGCAAAATTTATGCTGGCACACCTCGTTTCTTTCCTTTAGGTAAGTAGTAACCTTACCATCTGTCATGCTTTGATCTTTCTGTTTTAGTAAGTTTCTTCATTGATAAGAAGTGTTGTCCCTTAGAGTAAAATAGGTTTTTAGTTGCTGCTATTTAACTGAAAAGTTGAATTTCCCCTTTACAGGAAGACCCAGCGCTAAATTTGTGGGTTTTGAGGATTTGTTGATGAATAATTGAGCATGAAACGTTCTTTGATAAAACCTTTCAATTTTTTTCTGTCTTAGGATAATGGTAATAGACTATATTCATTATATTGTTTGTCAAGAAAAAGAGCTGTTGAGTGTTTTTATATGCATATCTCTGATTGATTCAGTTGCTCTTTTTTCTTCCATATTGGTTTACATACAAAAGTTGTATACATTGTGTTTCATGCATTCCTCCCTTCACACTGTGTTTCACATAATCATCCCCATACACTGTGTTTTATAAAATTGATCATCATTGATACATGCCCATCAATACCCCACATTTTCAGGCCACCACTGGATCTTTCCTAATTCATTCACCCCTTGCTCTGCCAACCAAGCTCTGCACCCTTGAGATTTCCCCCTTCCTCCTTTCCCTTCCCAATTTGGACTGTAGTACACATCTTACTAGTTATCCTTCTATTTTTACAATAATGGCCTTATGCAGTATTTGTCCTTAGGAGACTGAGTTAGTTCACTCTGCATAATGCTTTTCAGTCTTTCACAAGTTAAGGAGTATATTTCAAACCCATTGCTCCTGACTGCTACATAGTATTTTTCATCATGTGAATGTATCACAGTTTCTCAAGCCATTTGTTTGTGATGGGCATTTTGGTTGTTTCCAAGTTCTTGTGAAGGTGAATCACGCTGCTGTGAACATTGGTGTACAAATCTCCATTTGTGTCTCAGGTCTGTTTTTGTTGGGTTAAATTTCAAGCAGTGGAATAACTGAGCTGGGTCATATGGAATTTCTGTGTTCAGCTTTTTGAGGAAATGCCAAACTACTTTCTAGAGTGGTTGTACCATTGCACAATCCCACCAACAATGTATACAAGTTCCTAACTCTCCACATTCTGTCCAATATTTTTGCTTTCTCTCTTATTAAACTTTGCCACTGATAGGTAGTTGAAAGGAAATTGGTTATCTCATTGTGATTTTGCTTGTATCTCTCCTATTGCCAGTGATTTTGAACATCTCTACATGTGCCTGTTAGCTATCCAGATGTCTTCCTCTCTGAAAAGTCTTTCCATGTCTTTTACCCATTTTATATTTGTTATATAGCCTTTTTCTTGTGGAGGCCCTATAGGAAACATTCATTGTGAGACCCTTGTCTGAGATGTCGTTGCCAAATGTTTTTTCCCCAGTCAGTAGGTTTTCTTTTCACTCTACCTGAAAAAGTTGTTGTTGTTGTTGGGGTTTTTTTAAAAAAAATACAGAATGCACCGCAGTCCCAGAGGTGTGCGGTTCGAATCCACCAGATGCTTTGCTGGAGAAGGAGGGGAAATTTCTTCCTGTACCAGTCAGATCCAATTTGACGGTACACACACATAAAAAATAGTAAAATTAAGAAGAACAATAAAATGGAACGCTTCACAAATTTGCATGTCTTCCTTATGTAGGAAATTCCTCCTGTTAATCTTCTCTGTATCATTCCAATTTTCGTATATGTGCTGCTGAAGCTAGCACTGGAAAAAGTTTTATATGTACACAGGAATTTAATCTTTAGGGGGTTCCATTAATGTTATCCTCTCCCGGTTCTGCATTTAACTGCTCCATTTTACTGACACTAAAATTTCCCTCAAAATAGCAAATACTTGTATTAAGAGATGTAATTATTTAAACCTTTTTCTCAACCAGATATGCAGACTTAATGATGTGGGTATTGTATTTCACTGCTGAACTGGCCAATCTGTGTTTTCCTCATTGTCAAATAGTAAAAGTAAATAAGTACATTCATAGAATAAGCGTTCATTAGAGTAAGTACACGGTAAGTACACAGAGGAAGTACATTAGAGTAACTTCATAGAGTAGGTACATTCATAAAGTAAATACTTTTTTATTACTGAAACATATTGAAAGTACATTCTTATTAATTTCTTTTAAAAATTAGTGTGTAAACTTGCTCACTATCTCTGGACCTTGGTCAAAATAATTGTAGTCATGCCTTTTTTCTTACAAGCAGACACTAAAATGCTATCTCTTTTCTGTGCTATTTTATTGATCAGAGAAAGTCAAAGGGCAAATATTCATTTCTCTAGTTAAAGCCTATTTGAGACAGTATATACTTTTGGGGTATTTCTGCTTAGCTAAGTATTGAGCCTAGGGAAATTCAGAGTAGAAAAGAAGAAATTTTTATATTCCTATACAACTCTTTAATAACAAACAGGCTTTAGGAGAACCTAGATCTAAGTTAATATTTAGAATGTGTAGTGCTTACATAGAAAGAGCTCAGTTGACCTAATGGACAGAAAGTGATGCTACCAAACCAAAAGTGGGTGATTTTAATCTGCGGCCCTCAGGCCTATTTTTACTTGGTTTTGGTCTAACATTCTTTTAGGTGGTATAGCCCTGGTCTGTCCATTTGCCATACAGAGGTAACTCGTGGTGGCTGTGATGCTGAACACTGTGACCCTGATATGCCAAATGTGATCATGGTTACCGATGGTGGACAGTGTTTGGCGGAGCTCCCCAGTTAAAACAAGCTTGGAAGCAGGAGTGACATCCACTTCTGAAATGCTTGCCTCTGGAAACCGTATGAACTTGGAGAAAGGAAGTAAGTTCATAGGGTCGCTATGAGTTGCCCATGACTCGACATTTAACAACAACATTGCTTACATTGAGTCTTTGAATGATAAATGCTACCTAGATTTGGATTTAGCATTCATTTTTTTAGTATCTCCGTCTGCCCATCACATTTCTCAATCTGATTTGTCAGCTCTTATAAATTGTGTTGTTACTTTTATAATCTTATTTTCTTAGTAATAAGAAAAGTAGGGGGAAAATTAATAGGATTAGAACCATTGAAGTAAGTAACTTAGAATTCAGGGTTGTTAGGTTAACTAGAACTCAGCACTGTGAACATAAATCTGAGATTTGCCCTATCCTGCATTATCCTCCCCATCTATGATAAGGTTGACAGTCCATCCCGTTGAGGATCTTCCTCTCTTTCTCCAACCCTCCACCTTTTCCAGCATTATGGTTTTTTCCAACGTCTGGCCCCTCTTCACAACATGCCCATAGTATGAGATGAAGTTTCACCACCTATGCCTCTAAAGAGCACCTTGGTTGTACTTCTTCAAAGACAGCCTTGTTTGTTCTTTTGATAGTCCATGGAATATTCAGTACTCTACTACAAATCTATGACTCAAATCCATTGATTCTTCTTCTGTCATACTTATTCAGTGTTCGGCTTTCCGAGGCTTTGCAAGTCATTGAAAAGAGCAGACGCACCTTAGTCTTTAAACTGACATCAGATTGCAGGAAGTTACTAAAATCATTTACTATTTCTAAAATCAGGATTCATTAGCCCTTTTCTTGACATTTGGTCTTTAAAAACACTGTTTCTAAAATCAAGATGCAATAACCCTTTCCTTGAAGACTCTTAAAGGCAAGATAAAAATACTTTCAAAATATCAGTTCATTCTCCCCAGTTGCAGAATTCCGAATTTTTTTCCGAAAGTTTTGTCATCTTCATGTTCTGAAATGTATTTAGTTCTTTTAAAAAACAAAACAACTTTAAAGTGTACAGTGCAGGGGATTTAATATAGTCACAGAGTTGTGTCACTACCACCACAATCAAATTTTAAAATATTTTTGTCACCCCAAGGAGAAACTACAAATTCACTAAAAGTCACTTCCTATTCCTTGCCCCCCTTCAGCCCTCAACAACCACTATTCTACTGTACATCTATAAATTTGTCCATTGTGGCATCGGAGTTGGAGGTGGACTCATTAACAGCCTGCATTATGCAGATAACACAACCTTGCTCACCAAAACTGAGGAAGACTTGAAGTATTTGCTGAAGAAGATCAAAGACTGCAGTCTTCAGTATGGATTGCAATTCACCATCAAGAAATCAAAGATCCAAGGCAACCCCCGGCTGAGAGGACCTGGGGCCGAAGCCGATTTATGAACGGCCCGGCAGATGGGCTGGACTGCTGCGGGGGCTTCGGCAGTGTTGACTTTAGGCAAACCTCTGCATTATGAATCAACTGCTTGCCTATGTGAACCCCTTAGATTCCAACTTTGTGGCTGCTGTCCTTGCCATCACCTTCAACCCACTCTTCTGGAATGTGGTTGCAAGATGGGAGCAGAAGACAAACAGGCTAAGCAAGGCCTTTGGGTCACCCTACCTGGCCTGCTACTTGCTGGGGAGTGCCATCCTCCTCCTGAATTTGGTTCGCTCACACTGCTTTACACAGGCCATGCAAAGCCAACCCAAGATGGAGAGCCTCGATAATGCTCCAGCCTACTGTATAGGCCTCTCGTTCCTGGGAGTGGGTTTCATGTTTGTGCTCTCCAGCTTCTCCACACTGGGCTTCACTGGAACCTTCCTAGGTGATTACTTCGGCATCCTAAAGGAAGCTAGAGTGACTACATTCCCATTCAACATCTTGGACAATCCCATGTACTGGGGTAGCACCGCCAACTACCTGGGTTGGGCTGTCATGCACGCCAGCCCCACAGGCCTGCTGCTGACTGCAGTAGTGGCCCTCATCTACATGGTTGCTGTGCTCTATGAAGAGCCCTTCACAGCAGAGATTTACCGGCAAAATGACATCCAGTCCAATAAGAGGAACTGATGGGCAAGCTGTAGAGCAGAAACCAGCAGTGGCTGTCCTGGAGGGCAAGTCTATGGCCCACTATGCCTATGCCTTGGAGACTTAGCCCCCACTACTCAGGACTCGGACCTGATGGTGGCTCCAGTGCCTTGGGAAACTGCTGCCTTGGGAGTTTGGCTGGCTGCCACACAGCCTCTGAGCCCCCTCTACATAATACCCTCAGGTCTAGACTTCCCAAAAAAGATCCCTGAGTTAAAAAAAAAAAAAGAAATCAAAGATCCTCGTCATCAGGCCAATTGGCAGTATCATAATAAATGGAGAAAAGATTAACAATTTCATCTTGCTCAGATCATAATCAACACTCTTGGCACCAACAGTCAGTAAATCAAAAGATGAGTTTCTTCGAGAAAGTCTGTTGTCGAAGACCTCTCCAGCTTTTTAAAGAGTAATGATGTCAGTCTGATCCAGGCCATGATCTTCTCAGTTGCTTGCTATAAATCTGAGAGCTGGACCGTGACTAAGGATAACAGAAGAATTGATGCATTTTAGTTGTGGTACCAGAGAAGAGTGTTGATCATACCATGGATTGCCAAGAGAATAAGCACAGGTCTGTCCTAGATAGGGTGAAATTCAGGTTCCTCCTTGGCGGCAAGGATTTTGAAACTTTATCTTACATACTTTGGGCATGTTGTCAGTCAAGAAACAATCCTTGGAGAAGGACATGATGCTAGGAAGGGTGGAGGTTCAGTACAAGAGGGAAAGGCCCTGAATGAGTTAGTTTGACACAGTAATGGGGTCAGGCGTGTCAGAGATGGTGAGGTCTCAGGATAGGGCAAGGTTCAGAGCTGTTGTTCACTATGAGTCGTAAGTGGATGGCACGTAACAAAAAAATAATATAGATCTTGTTTTCGTAACTTTAAAAAATCAGAATTTTTTTCCTATGAATTTATTAATAAGATCTGTTATTTATTATCAAGTGTTAAAATCCTAATTTATAATCTTCTTCCTCTTTAGATTTTATTGTACAATTCTTAGAACAGCAAGTTTGCACTTTGAACTGGGATGTTGGCTTTGTAATACAAACAATGCATGAAATTGGAGTGCCATTACCTAGACTACTGGAAGTGTATGATCAGTTATTCAAATCACGGGTAAGGAAATGAAAATACTTCGTTTCATAAACTAATCCTTCTAGACATAGGAGTGAAGTTATTTTGATTACAAACTTGTAAGTATCTTAGCAGGAGAGATTTGCTTCATTAGTTGTCTATCAAAAAGGATCATACTTTAGATTTTTCCTTTACTTTGTATTGATTTGTATACAAAATTCCTATACATGTATTTCATACAATCATTCATATACATTGTGTTTTATGAAATCAGTTACCATTGAGCTTTGCTTTCTATTTAGCCCTTTTCAGGTTCCCATGAATCTTCCCTAATTTACCCACACTCCCCCTCACCAAAATGCTGTCCTAGTTATTTCCCACCATTTCTTCCTTCCCTTTCTCCTTTTGGACACATCTTTCTAGTTATCCTTTTATTTTTATAATAGTAGTCTTTTGCTTAGTATGTTCTTATGAGACTGAGTTCACTCAGCACAATTCTCTAGCCTCTCCCACAGTTATATGGTAGTTTACTAAATCATTGCTCCTTAGTGCAACAATAGTATTCCATTGTGGTACTACATAGGATTCCATTGTGTGAATGAACCACAGTTTTTCAATCCGTTCACTTATTGATGACCATTTGGGCTGTTTTCTTTTTCTTGCTATTTTGAATAACACTGCTATGAACATAGATAGTATACACAGACTTTTCTAATAGTTGCTTTTCTGATATGATAAAAATAAAATAGTATCTCAGAGTATCAACAAACGTGTGTGTTTTACTTTGCCAGTAGACTAGACCAAAACGTGGGCTAAACACATTCCATTGTGTATCATTTGAGTTGGGTTTTTTTTTTTAATTTGTTGGTGTGTGAATCATTTACTTGGATTAAAATAACGTTACATTAAGGCCTCATGTTACAAATGCCTGATATAGGGTTAACTTCTGATTCTGCACACTTTGCAGACCCTCCCTTTGGGCCTTTCTTTACACTGATCTACTACTGTTAGTCAATGCCAACTCATGGTAACCATTTGCTGGGTTTCCAGGCCTGGAAGTCTTAATGTGTGACAGCCTCATCTTTCACTCATTGGTAACTGGTAGGGTTGGACTGAAATCTGTGGATCTTTACGTTTTGTTTTTTTTTAAAAAAAAAGACAGTTTTAAGGGAGTTCTGGTAGCCTAGTGGCAAGAAGTTGCACTGCAATCCCAGAGGTGCTGATTTGACGGTACACACACACAAAATAATTTTTTTTAAAAAAAAAGACAGCTTTAGTGCAAGTGGTTTTAATGTATCCAGAGTAGTGTTTTGTTTTTTTGAGTGTGTGTGTGTGTGTGTGTGTGTACTGTTCAATCGGATCTGACTGGTAGAAGAGGAGATTGCCTCTCCTTTTCCAGCAGAGCATCTGGTGCATTTGAACCATGTATCTCTAGGACTGCAGTGCAGCTTCTTTCCACTAGGCCATCAGAGCTTCTTTCCAGAGTGCTTTTTATCCTCCTCCTCCTTTCTTCTTTTTTTTTTTAAATTGTTTTCCTTACAAAGAATGTATCCAGAGTACTTTTATGTGTCTTTCATTTGAGTATCACAAAAAGCATATAATGAAATTGATAAATCTCATCCTCATATTATGGTAACAAAAGGGCAGGAATGTTAAACTTGGCTCAAGTCTCAAGTCAGATCACTTGTAACTACTGATGCTGGAGCTAAAAACAAGATTCTTTGAGTGCTGATACAGTCTCTTAAAGTTCTAAATATGTCACATCTCAGGTGTCACATATTTCTGAGCAGGAAGTTTATATAGTCTACAAAGTATATTAATACTTAAGATATTCTTACTAAATAACATAGTGCCATTCTTAGGATAATTCAAATACTAATTATAACCAGGTATTTAACATAATTTGATTTTTTAATAGCAACAAGTTGCACTTAGTTCTTTGATGATTGTTTTAACTAACATAAATGATTAAAAATCAGCCAGTGCCATTTGCCTTACAACTCACGTTACATACTTTCCTAATAGGATCCATTCTGGAACAGAATGAAGAAGCCTCTTCACCTTCTAGACTGTATACATGTATTGTTAACAAGATATGTTGAGAATCCTAGCCAAGTTCTAAATTATGAGAGGTAATTATGAAATGTTGTTGTGTACTCGCAGGTCAGAATTGACCCATAGTTGACCCACTGGCGGGTTTTCCTAGGTAGTTATTGGATGGGAGGAGATTGCAAAAGGTTTTAGATTCTTTTCCTCTCTGGGTAACTAATTTGGAGAGAATGGAGAACAATAGGGCAGGTCTCCAGAAATCTAGGAAATTCAAGTTCTTGTACACGTTAACAGCTATTTGAGAATAATGTTAAGCAACATATATGAAAAGTAGGACTGTTTACCTTTTTCAACTCTTGGATCCTTTTACAATTGAAAAGGTATAATTTATAGATTAGCTTTACTTCTTTCTACTTTGCATAAGTGGCCTCAGGTCAAAACAGTTCTAACTGAATCTTTCTGAGATTATTGGCCATCTCAAGAAATAGTCTTTGAAAATTGCAAAAGAATTTCCAATTTTAATATGACTCATCATTGTGATAATATTCAAGTGGAAAATGATGGTTTTATAGTGGTCTACCTGCCCTTTCATTTTAATATCTGTTTTTATTATTTGTCACTTAAACATATCTTCTTGTGCCTATCTGCAGAATAATAAGGGAAGTTAGCAGACGTTTTAGAGGTGTGCTAGAGGAAGAAGTATTTCTAAATGCATGAATAGTTGATCAAGTGTCTATTGCTCTACAGGAGAAGATTCACAAATCTCTGCCTGGACGCTGTTTGTGGTTACCTGGTTGAGCTCCAGTCTATGAGCTCTTCAGCAGCAGTACAAGCCATTACAGGGAACTTCAAGTCTCTTCAGGCTAAACTAGAGCGGCTTCACTAATTACTGTAATGTATTTTCATCCCTTTGTTTTAAACTGTAAAATAAAAGCTCATTTGGGTCCGGATATCAGGTGCTCTGTATCTAAGATTAAGAATGTTTTTAATAGAAACATGTTTTGTTTGGTGGCTGTTTTTTTGTTTTTCAGAAACATGTTTTTAATACGTGGTTACCATCAAATATATTTCTCAAATCTATTCTTTTCTATGAATATTCTTCTGTTCCTTAATAATCAGGTTAAAAACACTGAAATAAGAGTACGATCTTAAATAGAGTTTTTAAAAAAAAAATTTGGACACTCTTATATATTTTACTCCGGTTAGAAATAGGAATTTTTTTAATATGTAGGCCTATTTTTAAAATGGTATTAAAACATAACTAAATAGGCTGGATCAAGTCCACTGTCATAATACTGGATTCCAGAAGAGTTTTTAAGTAGACAAAGATAAACCATTTCTTTTTAAAATAGTAATATGAATCCAATTTTATGTTCATCCATGGAAAGACATTTCCTCCAAATACTAATATTGAAAAAGTTGTGGTCACTGATGATTGGTGCACCCCTAGTTCTTGGTTATTTTAAGCAAATAATAAATTTATCAGTAATTCCCTGTACCCCGAAACTTGCACAGTTAGTGTTTTCCCTTCATGTTCAGTTGGCTGGATTTTTTGTTTGTTTTCCTATTTGACAGTCAACTCCATCACAGCAGTGATTCTGTAAGTAAGCAGCAGTACCATCTTGGAATTTGTTAACAGTTCAGGTTCTCAGACCTAATGAATGAAAACCTTGGGAATGAAACGCAGCAATCTGTGTTTTTACAAGGTCTCGTAGCGATTCTGCTCATACGAGTTGGAGGACCATTGTATTAAGGGATACTGTGACTTTTCATGTGGAAGTTAGACTGTGAATAAGAAGCCTGGGGAAGATTTAATTGTGGTGTCATGAAAAATGTGGAATATACCAAAGACTTCCGTGACAAACAAACAAACACGTCTTGGAAGAAGTGTAACCAGAATGCTCCTTGGAGGCAAAAATGACGAGACTCACATACTTTGGACATGGTATCAGAAGGGGCCAGTTCCTGGGGAAGGGCATCATGCTTGTAAAATGAGAAGGTCACTGAAAAAGAACTAGACCCCAAATGAGACAGATTTGCACAGTGGTTGCTACAAGGGAATGAAGGAAGCAAAGCAGAGATGGTGGGGACGGCACCAAGTCTGGCAATATTTCATCCTGTCGTGTGAGTCAGAACCAGCGTAATGGAACCTAAGAGCAACCCAGCCTTCCAGAGTTTATGAGCTGAGATTCCTCTCCCATTCCTCCACCCTTCCCCACCAGTAACAACAACACAGGTTTTACTCAAGTCGTAATAATTATATTGTTAGTATAGATTGTTCCCAAGATCTGAACAGGATCCATTCCCAAGTGTATCTTTCTTATTTAGCCTTACTTTAGTGCAAGAAAACTTGAAACTTTTCCAGTGAATTATGTACAGCAACTAAAGGTGATTGTGATTTTGTTGGAAGTAAGGGTTGATTCTCTTGAGAAGAGGGCAATCACAGGGCTTCTTAGAAGATGGTAAGACTTCCTTTTACCATGTCATCAAGAGGGTCTAGTCCTTAGAAAAAGCTATGCTTGGAAAGGCGGAAGGTCACTTAAGGAAACATGACACAATAACTGTGAGCTGAAGCACAGCAAGGGATAGTGAGATTGACCCTTAACACTTAACAACAATGAACTCACTCTTTTTACAAGGGCGAATTTACATAATAGTGAAGGACAGATAAGAATTACCAGTGAGATATTCATACTCAGGGACTACATATAATGTAATTTTAATTAGTTTCCTAAAATTAAAGAAATCAAGTGCCACAATGTCATGTAACAAGGGAGGGCAAAGTGGCAGTGGCCTCAGTTAACAAAAAGGCAAAAAAGCTCATTGCTAATCAAGTCAGTTCCAACCCGTGTCCCTGTAGGACAGAAGAAAACTACCCCATGATTTCCAAACCTTTGGAGCAGCACGCTGCCTCATCTTTCTTCTGCCAGGCAGCTGGGGAGTTTGAATTGATGGCTTTTTGAGTTAGCAGTCCAGCATACCCACTATATCAGCAAAGGGTTCTGCAAAATAGCAAAAAATGGACTTTCCTCTCTTCCTTTTACACTATCTTCTGCATTTTGTCACCAAAGCATAACTAACAACTTTAAAAATCTATTTCAAGTCTTACTTCTATTTTTGCCTTTCCTGAAACTGTCAGTTAACCTTGCTACATTGATTTTTGGGGTGTTTTATTTTCTTCTGGAATCTTCTAATGGAACCACTCATTTTTATCTCATTTCCACCCCTTAAGTTTAGCCTTTTTCAATATAAATACATAAAATGAATGTGTGTGCCACATAACAATATCGCAAGTTTGAAAATCCTGTCATTTGTGTAAAATGAAAGGCTTGCTTAAATGCTGTCATTCAGGCCTGACCCCAATTCTGAATGATTGGTTGATAGCAGAACTAGATGTATGGTCATGCTGTTCGTATGACATCTGTTAGGAAAACATCCATGATGTCAATCTCTGAGATCTACTTATTAAAAATAAGATGTGTGCAATGAATCAGAATAACAAACAGCACTACTTTGTAATTCATAGAAACTACTGTTTTTTTCAAAGATGTCTGCATGTATCTGGGAGTATTTAAAATCTATCTTTTTTTAAAAAATAGTACGCTAGCATTGTCAAATGACCTGTGAACAACCAGAAATCTGAATCCCTTTTATTCATGTAGCACCATCTGACCCCACAATGGTTGTTTGCAATTACCATTTAACAGGGAAGATTCCCTAAGGGAAAAGAAATGTTGGGTGGGTTTTTTAAAAATTAATTTTCACATAGTAATTAATTTACATTGTTTCATTCATGTACATTGTGCTTTATACAATCTTCCATTTATATTGTTTCATGAATTCACATGCATTGTATTTTATATAATCAATTACTATTGATTTATGCTTATTATTACCCTGTCTTTTCAAGTCCCCATTGAATCTTTCCTATTGCTTCATTCCTTCCCAATCTGCCCATGAAACTGCTACACATATATGTATATAAATAGTATTTAGCAAAAATCATTATTTCTTGGTGTTGTGTAATATTCCATTGTGTGAATGTACCACAATTTCTCAGTCCATTTGTTTGTTGATGGGCATTTGGGTTTCCATATCCTTGCTATTATGAACAATGCATGCTGTGCACATAGGTGTACCTATCTCCATTCAAGTCTTAGTTTGGTTTGTTTGTGGTTTGGGGTTGTTTTTTTTTTTTTTGGTTTGTTTTTTTTTAATAATCAACTGACCTTTAATGAGTATATTTTGTACATGCATTGAGGTAAGTTCAAAGGGCCTTCTCCATTCAAATAGAACTGGGAAGTCAGAGCTCATCAAGCCAGTAAAGTGACTTCACAGCCATCTCATGGCCTGGTATCCTGTGGATCCTGTACCCCCAGCAGTAGGCGCTACCAGTCCTGTAGGGTGCCTCTTCTGCTGTCGGGCAATATTAATCATTGGCATTTTCCTCCAGGTAGCCTCTACGTAGGAAGAACAGGACACTGTGGCTCAAGCCTAGTTTGTGGGAAGAAGGGGAGGCACTTGGAGTGGAACAGGGACAGGAAACATGATAAATTAATCCTAAGAATGACCAGATGCATGCAGGATGTGCGGCGAGCATTCCAGGGGTCCTAGGAGTCTCTGGTCTGGTCTAGGAGGCATTTAGGAGGATGTGGTACAAAACGCTGGATTGTTGATGCCTTCCTGGACCCCAGATGTTCTTTATGTCGGAGCTATAAGGTAGGGGTGGGGCAGGCCCAGAATTTTCAGGACTAAGAACTTCTAACACTAGCCTAAAGCCACAAGACAGGGGTGCCTGTGAGCACATTTCAGAAGCCATCCTGACTGCATTCTGCCTCTTAGCTGAATAATAACCTTTTGACTTAGTATGGTTGTGTGTGGCCTGTGAACTGTCTCATCCAATCTTGGACCCAGTAAAACAGTAAGATTGGTCTTGAGAGGAGTAGAAAGATGTATGGGATTGTAGAGAACATGTCTAACCTCATGGGAGTTGGTTTTGTGTTAATGATGCCGTTAACAGGGACAGTTTCCCTTTGGGAAGTCACTAAAGGTCAGACATAGCTGTCCCCACAAGGCCTTAGCTCTTTTTTCAGCAAGTAATTGTGAAGACCATGGCCTGGATCTGGCATACCTTAGTCTCAAACTGACATTGACGGCTGACTTTCCTAATGCAACTCATCTTGGTATCCTGACTGCTGGTGCTAAGAATCTTGATTGTGGATCTGAGCAAGATGAAACTTAACAGTCTCAACTTCTCCATCTATCATAGTGCTGCCAGTTGACATAGTGGTGAGAATTTTTGTCTTCATGTTGAGGTGCAATCCATATTGCAAACTACAGACCTGTAGCAAGCTCTTCAGGCCCTCATTTTCAGCAAGCAAGGTTGTGTCATCAACATAACATAGATTGTTAATGAATCTTCCTCCAAATCTGAGTCCTGCTTATAAAGTCCATCCTCCTGGATGATTTGTTCTGCATATAGATTGAAAAGGTATGGAGATAAGACACATTCCTGACACACCCTTTCTTGATTTTGAAACATGCAGTGTTTACTTACTCTGTTAGGAGGACTGCTTCCTGATCCAAGTGTAGATTTCACATGAGCACAGACAAGTGTTCTGGAATTCAGAAATTTTGTAAAGCTAGTGAAGCTAATTCTAAAACTTGTGTTAAGTGCCATGAAGTGGAGTATGATTCATTGTGACTCTGAACAACAGATCTGAACTCGGATGTATTCTTACCATCTCTAATACACTTGATCCCATTGCTACAACCGCTGTGTCAATCTCATTGAAAGTCTTTCTCTCTTTTGCTGACCTTCCACCTGTCCAAGAAGACATATATTGAAATAAGACTTCAGGATAGCAAAAACAGTTTTGTAAAGAATTACTTTGAAAAAAATACTTTGAATTTAAATTTGACACTATAAATTCGACATTATATTGAC